GATATCTGGTCGAGCACCACCTGCTCAAATTTATGTATCTGCTCCTCGACCATTTCCTTGTATGCCTTCATCCTTTCTTCTTTGGCCTCAGTCGTGCCGTTCACTTGATGTACCACCAGTTGACTGTCCGATCTCACTTTTAACCAATCGGCGCCCAGGGCCCTTGCATACTTTAAACCAGCAATGAGAGCCTCATATTCAGCCTCATTGTTGGTCACCTTGAAATCAAAATGAATGGAATAATACGCTTTGAACCCCTCAGGCGATGTGATCACAGCTCCAGCTCCACAACCTTTGGCACTAGATGCTCCATCCACGTACATTTCCCACCAGTTATCCAGCCCGTTGTTCTCTGAATCTTTTTCTGAGGGTCGGGCGGTACATTCTGCAATGAAATCTGCCAGGGCCTGCCCTTTGATAGTAGGCCGGGGTTTGAAATCTACCTCGTACTGCCCGATCAGAAGACTCCACTTGGTAATGCGCCCACTTGCCATAGGATTTCTCAAGATGGTGGATAATGGTTGGGTAGTATATACAGTTACCGGGTGGGTTTGGAAATACGGGGCCAGGCATTTAATGGCAGCTATCAGGGCCAGTATATTCTTTTCTAGCAAGGTGTACCTGGTTTCCGGTCCGTTCAACGCCTTGCTCACAAAATAGATTGGCCGTTGAACGCCATCTTCTTCTTTCAGCAGAACCGTGCTTACGGCCAAGTCGGCTACAGCCAGGTACATATACAGATGTTCCTCTGGTTCGGGCTTTGTCAAGACCAGGGGGAAGACAGATATGTCTTGAAATCCTCAAAGGCCGTTTGGCATTCGGCCGTCCACTCGAAAGGGTTGGCTTTCTTCATGATTTGGAAAAACGGGATAGCTCGATCGGCCAGTTTTGATAGGAATCTGCTCAGGGCTGCTAGCCGACCGGTCAATCTCTGTACTTCCTTGAGATTCCTCGGGGGCTCCATGTCCACAATGGCCTTTACTTTTTCTGGATTGGGCTCAATCCCCTTCTCGCTCATCATGTACCCCAAAAATTTGCCTCCTCTTACAGCAAACGCGCATTTCTTGGGATTGAGCCTCATATTCGCCCTTTGCATTATCCCGAACACCTTTTCTATGTCCAGGACATGGTTTTCCTTCTTTTTGCTCTTGATCAGGATGTCATCAACGTAGGCTTCCATTGTGACACCCAGTACATCTTTAAACAGCATCCCGATCATCCTCTGGAAGGTTGCCATCGCGTTCTTTAATCCGAATGGCATGACGATGTAGCAGAACACGCCATCCGAAGTAACAAACGCCGTTTTTTCTGCATCGGCCGGGTGCATGAATATCTGATGATAACCCCGGAAAGCATCCATGAAGCTCAGTAATTCGCACCCAGCAGTCTCATCCACTAGCAGATCGATCCTTGGCACTGGGTAGGGATCCATGGGGCATGCTTTATTGAGATCGGAGTAATCCACGCACATTCTCCAGGTAGATTGCTTTGGGGCTAGAACCACATTGGATAGCCATTCTACGTGGATTACCGGTCGGATATGCTTTATCCTTAGCAAAGTGGCCACTTCCTTCTTGGTGAATTCCCGCCGTTCGGTCGCTTGGTATCGTTTCTTCTGTTGGACCGGTTTTGCATCAGACCGAACGGCAAGTTTGTGGCATATTATTTCTGGATCAATGCCGGGCATATCTTCTGGCCCCCGGGCAAATAGCACCTGAAACTTTTTGAGGACGGCAATCACGCCATCCTGGATATCTGCCTCCAGATCTACCCCGATAGCGACCTTACGGTTCGGGGGAAAGTCGAGGTCGATTTGTTAAAGAAGGGTGGAGGGCTCCGGATGTGCCTCGAACTCCGTTCGGTGGGTTTCCACCTCAATTGTATTCACCCGCATCCCACGAGTGTTCATCTGTTTCAGGGCCTCCCGATAACATGTTCGGGCTGTTGTTGGGTCAGTTCTGGCCACCCCTACCCCAGTGTCTGTGGGGAATTTGATGCATGAGTGGCGGACAGAGGCTATTGCCTCCAGATCTTCCAATCCCGGTCGGCCCAAAATGGCATTATGGGCGCACTTTATGTCTACCACCACGAACGTCATTCGGAGTGACGCTCTGTGGGTTTCATCTCCAATTTCAACCATCAATTGGATGGTCCCTTCCGCCTCGATGCAGTTACCGGTAAAACTCGCCAGTGGAGTTCGCAGGTGGGTCAGGTTGCTCCTTTGCAGACCCATTTTCTCGAAAGATTGTAGATACAATACATTCACACTGCTCCCAGTGTCGACCAGCACTCTGCGGATTAAAGCATTGTCAATACACATGCTTACTACCAGTTCATCCCTGTGGGGGCTTGGAGAGTTGGGTAGATCAGCTGGCCCGAACGTGATCGGGTCTGTCCTTCCTTTCTTCTGGGGGGGAGCGGAGACGGACCCCACATAAAGACTCCGCTCGAACCTTTTCCGTTCGGCGTTCGAATCTCCGGTCTCTCCGCCCCCAAATATGACCTTGACCTCCATTCGAGGCTTCTTTCCGGGGCCTCCCGAGCCCTCTGGCTCATCTCTGGGAGGAACATACACATCATTCTGAGGCTGGGCGTCACGTTGAGCATCCCGGCGCCAGCTGTTAGGTTTCCTGGCCGGTTTTAACGTGCCCATTGCATTCGGATCTTTGTTCACATATTTGCCCAGATGGCCCCTTCGGATCAGATCCTCAATTGCTGTTTGCAGGGCCCTGCAGGCATTGGTGGCATGACCCTTTCTGTTGTGATATTTACAGAAAGCATTGTCATCCGTTCCCATGAACTGTCCAGAATCAGTCGGGATGGGAATATTGTCCCTCTCGTTCCGATAGATGGCCGCTATTGATAGAACCAGGGGTGTAAATCTCCCTTGTTTGGGGGGTAAAGTGGCCGCTGGGCTAGGACCCAGCCGATCAGCCAGTCTGATCGGGGCAGCAGGCGTAATGACCTTATCCCTGATCATTATTTCTTCTTCTAGGGCGGCATGCTTGCGCGCCCTATCTAATACTTCGGCGTACGTCGTGCCCGGGTTCTTCTTCAATTCTTTGTACAACTCCCCCGTTCGGAGAGCATTCGTGAACAGGGTGATGGCGGTATCATCCGTCATGCTTCCCACTGTTAAAGTTTCATCCCTCCACCTTTTCAGGAATTGGTTGAGGGTCTCCTTGGCGTTTTGCTTCACGCTGGTCAGATAGCTGAAGTGCTGTTTGGGATTGGCACTGGAAGCAAATTGAGCCAAGAATAACGTTGATAACTCGGTAAAGCTATTGATTGACCCGGGTTGTAGTGTCCCGAACCATTCCTGGGCAGGCCCCCTGAGCGTGCTGAAAAACAAACGGCAAATGGCAGTCTCGGGTGCTCCTAGCAGCATAAGTCCGCCTTGGTAACTCCTCAGATGTACGTGGGGATCTCCCACCCCATCATATATTTGGCCGGTCGGGGGCTTGGCACCCCCTTGGATATCCGCGTACATGAGCTCCCTTGTAAACGGGGAAGTAATCCCCAGTTGGACTGGTGCAGGTTGTGCAGGTACCCTGTTCATCTGGTCCCGCATTTCATTCATTTGCCTCCTCATCTCGGCCATCTCTTCCTCCTGGGCCGTCAGAGGGGGCGGTGGTGGAACCCTCATATCCGCACAGTCCCGGTCCCAATGCCGCTGAGGGGCCCTAGTATCTTCCCGCTCGGCATGTTGGAAATGATGACCGACGGGAGTTGGTCCTCTAGCTTGCGACCCGACCGGGGTTCGGTCACTTGGACTGGGATGTGCTGCTGGTGGGGCGCTACGTCGATTATCCCGATGGGTATGTGAGCGGGATGACGCTGTGGTCGTTTCCGCGCGTGGAGTTTCTCCTGTAAAGCTGGAACCTCCTTCTTCTTCGTTTGCCATGTGCTGCATGAATTGGGCCATGTCACGCATGGCCTGGGGATTTCTCCTCAGAGATTCTGGGATCACAAAATCCCCATTAACGCGAGGATAGGATCCTCGACTGGATTGTCCCTGGGGGTTTTGACTCCCCGGGGTGTGACTCCTCCCGTGACGGTGTGAACCGTCGTTTGTATGATAGGAATTGATTCTGACCATTTTTTAAAAATAGAGGTTTTTTGGATGTTTAGAAAGTGAAACTTTTTGCAAGTTTCCCACAGACGGCGCCAATGTTGAGGGTAAGTCCCGTAGATCCGAAAGCCCAACACGAACTTTGGATATATCAGGAATGGCCCAGAATCAAAGTGTGTGAGAAAATATAAAATCTGAATTAACTAGAACTCGAAAACCCACTCGTATTAATTAACCAATCTGATTACAAAAGATTTCCCGATCAGTAAGTCGGAAACTATGCTTTAATACAAGAAATAAGAGCAAATGATGCTATTCTAGAGCTTGAGTATCGAAAATATAACCCTTACAATGACTTGAAACCTTCTATTTATACTAATGGAGAGCATGGGCTGTCTCTTGCTGATTAGCCGTTGTTCCACCGACTTGGTCATCCATGCTTCCACTTGCTGATGTCATAGTCTGGCATTAACTGCACCTAGTCACTTGCTGGTTGGCCGTTGCTCGAACGGGATGTTGGTCCATACTGAAGATGCTGTCAAATTGGCCCAAGTATAGTATATAGTCCGAACCTCGTTCGGTATGTTTTCTTATTGGGCCAGCCTTTATTTGGGCCGAACCCCGTTCGGTATGTCTCCTTACTGGATCTTCTCATCATAGAGTGATGGGCCTGTTACTTGGGCCGGATATCTTGGGCCTTCCCGATCTGGGTATTGGGCCTCTAGGTCAATATCCCAACAAGAGTATTTAATAGTTACTCTATTAAAAGTGTAATTGTGAGAAGACTTAAAGTTGTGTGTTTTTATAAAAATTAGAGAGCTAAATTGAGCTAATAACCCTTATATTATTAATTATTAATTACTCCGTATAATTATTGGGATTTTTACACCATTTTTATGGAAATTTAATTTCACCATGGGTCCGTGGTGAAACCGATACGGTACGGCGTTTCCAGGCAGCAGGTGGCCGAACACCCCAAAACGTGAATGGGATGGGTGGCCATTCCTATTCTCGTCAACCATTTATTTATTTACAATTTTCAAGAAGTATTTGAAGAAGAAACGAAACCACAATTTTCCTTATCGATTCAATAGCTCACGAACAAAATCTAACAAGTAAAAGCATATTCGTCTTCCTGTCCGTCGGATTCTCCTCATAACAGGTTCATCTTTCATCCATATCCTATACGGAGTACTCTATTACATTCCCCCCCTTCCGAATTATCACTTATATTTGCGTTTGTGAAAGTGAAAACCTAGTTCATTGATTAATCTACGCATATTCCCAAAATTTTAGGGTTTGAAATATAAGATTTGTTGGCCTTCAGTTGGCGTCGTGAATTGCTAGAGAAGAGCTTTGCAATTTTATGCATACACGGGGATTTTGAGTTGGTAAAGAAACGTATGATGTTGACCCCGAAGAAGAAATGGTTGATTGCTCTTGGGGTAGTTGGAGCTTCATCTTATGGTGCATACAGAGTGTATTATTCGAGAAAGACGAGGAGAATCATGAAGCTATTGGGAGCGTTATCATCCATCTGTGAAATGATGTCTGAATCGGCCGAGGCTGTTAGTATCATCTCCAAGGATTTGAAGGGATTTCTTCAATCTGATTCTGATGAAATCCCTAACAGTTTGAAGCAATTGTCTAAAATTGCTCAGTCTGAAGAGTTTTCCAAGTCACTGTGCAGACTCTCAGAGAGTGTAACCTATGGGGTTTTGAGGGGATACAATTCACACGAAAAAAGTACTGAAATTGAAGAGGTAAAAAGCTCAACATTTTTAGACAAGCTTATGGATAAGCTGATTAGTAGTTCGGGAGCTGGTTTTGTTTCAGTAGTCGTTGGTAGTTTTGCTAAGAATTTGGTCACAGAGGTTTACTCACACACCCAATCCCATTCATCCAGTTTACCAGGGTGGGTAGATTTACTTTGTGATGATCGCTTCAAGATAGTAATAGCTGAATGCATAAAAACCTTTGTTAGCACGGCTGTCACCATTTATCTTGACAAAACAATGCATATTAACTTCTATGATGATTTGTTCTCTGGTATGACTAATCCTAAGCACAAATCCGAAGTGAGAGACGCGATTGTTTCCCTTTGTAATGGAGCAGTTGAAACTTTGGTGAAGACATCCCACCAAGTAACAGACAAGCAAAGTAAGGGGTTATGGTTGAGCAATGTGTCGTCCACTTTGGCAGTGCCAAGAAATAGGAGGTTTGTGCTTGATGTTACTGGAAGGGTGACATTCGGGACTGTAAGGTCTATAGTGGAGTTCGTAATGTGGAAGATGTCCGAAAGCCTGAAAGCAAGTGTTGATGTGGTCAAACAAGAAGTTTTCCAGAGGGGAACTGATGGCATGAGATACATTTGTGCCAAATCATCTGTTATCCTTGCGATATGCTTTGCATTGGTATTGCATGTGATTGGTAGTACTCATACCCTGTTGCGTGCCCAGATCTGATCTGATCCATGTGTACTGTTGATGATGATGAACAACACTAGATGAACTTGCATTTGTTAAGTTCTTGCGTGTGTGTGTCTATATATATCATTGAAGGGAAACAATTGTGCCTTTAGTTTATTGTGGTCATATTCAAACAGCAAGTAATATGGCACGATGCTCTGTTTTTACCTGGTTCCATGGGTAGATAATCTGTACCAATATCTTATGTAAAAGCATAAAATGACTAAAAATAACTACGGGGTGTTAATATTTCTATCCTTCATCTCAAGAGTATAATTTCTCTGGACAGAGCTTTTACCAGTTCAGGCACGGTAAAAACATGGTGGCTTTGTGCTTATTTGCGGGTGATATGATACTTTTTTTTTTGTTTTGGTTTTTATTCTGGGGGGGAGCTAAAAGTACAACCGACCCTCTGACTCCATATCAATACTGTTTTCTGCTCTCAGAATTAGAGGCAATCTACTAGGTAGGGCGACTGCATTGGAATCTACCAGGTTATGGACATTGGTTGATTTTGCCTACACTGCTAAGAGTTTGTTTGGATGCATGGAAGGGTTTGATGATTTATAGAACGGTAATGGTTTACCAAGTTGTGGAAAGGAAAGTAATGGCAATATGGCATGGATAGTGTCGGAGCCACAAATCTATTGTTAACGAGACCGGTCCTTGAAAATTTTATATGGGAGGGCTAGAGTTTAAAATATCAACATATTTTCTATAGATTAAAAATATTTATACGTAATATATATTTAATAATTTTTTTCTTGCAGGGGCCGATGCTCTTCTTCCCGTCTCCACCCCGGACATGGAGGGGGGAACCAATACTTACGCCCCTTTTAACCTGTTCTGATTACGACAGATTGGGGGTGTAAGAAAGTGAACATTTTGTAGAAAATTGTTCCAAAATTACCTCTTGTTGACTTGTTGTCCTCAGACGATCACTTCGTCACTCTTTTGGAATGGCTTAATAGAATTGGTCCGCTTGAGTGAAAATGCTGGAAGAGGAATGATTGCATTTGAATACTCGTTTTTAATAATAATAATAATAACGCTTATAACAAATGTCATGGGGGTATATTAATGTTCTTTTATGTTATTTTTAATTATTATTATTAGAGCAGCTAATAAATAGGAGTAATATACTAAACCATTAGTTATAGTTAATATTTGGCGAAATTGACGCCAATAATCTCTACTTTTACGTATTTTATAATAAATCTCTACTAGAAAAGTTCACAATAATATTCCCAACTACTTAACTATTTCACAAAAATAAACCGGAAGCTAACAATGTTAACTTTTGCATGAACATTTTTTTAAATTTTAAATATAATTAAGTAAAAATATTTATAAGCATTTACAATATTTTTAATAAAAATATATGTTTAAAATTTATATATGTTTTTAGCGTCAAATTCTTGAAAAAACTACACGAAAAAATTGACGCCGTCAACTCCGGTTTACTTTTGTGAAACAATTAATTAGTTGGGATTATTGTTGTGAACTTTTTCAGTAGGGATTATTGTTGTGAAATATGTAAAAATAAGATATATAAAACTTTTTCTGTCATAATCCTCAAAACTCACAAGTCACAACTACAAATACGGGTGAAAATAATTAACAGAATATGGACAGTTGATTCCTTGAATTAGTAAGGGTGAAAGTAATTAACAAAATATGGACAATTGATTCCTATTTCACAGGTACAAATAATGGTGAAAATGATTAAAAAATGTAGATAACTAATTCATTGATATCTATCTAGTAATCTAGGAGAGTTAAATTCCTGTTTTGCGTTTTAACAAATAATTCTACTGTTTCTATTTCTATTCAATCACCATAGATGGAAAGAACTTCTCATTGAAGAATCCTTGAAAAGTGAAACCGCCGTGTCTTGTATTTGACCTACAAATTTTCAAGTTGAACTTGCAACATAACCTTTTCTTCATATTAAAGTAATGAATGACGATGATCACATTTTTGTTATATTTAAATACGGGATAAGAATCAAATCGGACATTATGATTACATGAGAATCTCATATTGACCATTAAAGTTTCAAATGAACCAAATCAGACACTATAGTTACGTATGAATCTCATATTAGCCGCCAAGTTTTCATAATACATACTACCTCCGTCCCTTAAAACTTTGTCAACTTTCCTTTTTTGGATGTCCCATTAACTTTGTCACTTTCCCATTTAAGTAAAGAATTTGTGGTTCCAGTTAATTCTCTTTCCTCTGCACAAACCTCAACCATACAGATTTTTACTTTATTAATCCTCGTGTCGGTCAAACTTGGCAAAGTTTTAAGGGACGGAGGGAGTAGTTTTTGGACAGTCACGATTCTCTTCTTCCTTTAATAAAAATTGTTAGTCTTATTTTTCCCATTTTTGGTGAAATTAAACTAATTTAATTGATGTTTATAATTTTGAAATATTTAATTTGAGGTTTTAGAATATATAATTTGATTTTTGTTAATAACTTCTTATATTTAACAAGTTAAAAATATATTTATGACTTTTCATTCATATGATTTTTGTAAAACTTAGGGAGTACATTATAATAGATTTTCATGATTGGAACATCTAATTATATATTCTAAATCTAAATACACGAATTAAGTCATTTTTGTTATGTAATTAAGTAGATGTCCATTAATCATAGACCCATATGCAATGGCCCATATCATGATTGTAACCCTAGCTCCCCCTCTCTTGTATATATATGTGGCTACATGTGAATGAATGATAGCTTTTGATGGTTGGCTTATAACACATTATCAGCACGAGCTATGCACACCTTTTTTTTCTCTTTTTCAAGATTTCAATCTTGTTTTCGGCTTTGAAAATCTCTTGGCAAGGGAATCGGAACAATCCCCCTTTTATCCAACCAACAACGAAGAAGGAATGGTCATCGCCCCATCCTCCACACAATTATCTGCTAGGAGCGTATGTATAGTCTCTCTCCCTCCAGGTACAACGTACATCTGCTATTCCATGCATTCTGCTTTTAAGTTTTGCATTTGAAATCCTTTTTACATATGAATGTGTATGAATTATTGATAAAAATTTAGAAAGTTGATCTAAAAATGTTAGTGTAACCATTTTACTAGATCATTGTCTTCATTGATATGACCCCATTTCAGATGTGACTAAATCATGGCCTCTTTACAAAAATGACTTCTCAAATTTCTTTGTGGTTATGTACTTGAGATATACATATACTTTTAAACATATTTGATGAAAGGGGCTGTTTGAAAATTGAAATCGTTAAAACCCTTAGTCTTCCAATTCACAAACAATATGCTGGAAAAAATAATAATCCTGGAATCCATTTTATTTATTTTATTTCTGGATATTGTTTTGTTTACGGCTTAAACTGTATGCATACAACTAAATATGATACACTAAGCAGCTGCCAAACATAAGTATTTGATATTTTTGGGTTCTCAAAGTTGTTTAGGAACTTGAACTGTTTTCATGAATGTGAATGTGGTAGTAAAGATCATGATCAGCTCATGCCAAAAGCTCAAGAAATAACAAGGAATTGATTCTTATATTAAATAATAAAAATAAAAAATAATTAATGACATTTATTTGTCAATTTCGGTTACATTAGAGAATTTACTTGCTCAATTAATGAAATAAAATGAATTTAATTAGCATATAATATTAGCATATATACTTCCTAATATCTTTTAAATGTATTAGCATGTCGCTCTTTAATTTGCACAGGTCAAATCACTTGAAAAAAATGATCTTTTTATGAACATGTACGGCTAGATCAAAGACCATATAACACTTAAAGTTACCGGGACCCTCTTTTAATAACATGAAAATCCCGGGACCCTCTTTTAATAACATGAAAATCTTACACAATCTCAGGCAAACATGTTTTAACGGTTGTAAATATTCAATGTTGAAATGTTATATGCTAGTATCTCATTAATAATAATAAGTACTCGTAGTATATTAATTACTAGAGTTACAAAAGCAAGAGGGTGTACACTATTATGCATGGACAGTGTCACCTCATAAGTTATGTTGGGTATTTGCTTATTGTTCTTAATTAATATACGTGGTACAAAGTATGTATTAACATGTATATTGTTCTTTATATGATACTACAAATTACAAATAAAAAAAACAAAAGTTATACTCTTCCCCTTATATAAAAAAGTGACGGGATGAAGGTTTGACATGTGGCAAATAGCGGTCGGCCGCTAGTTAGGCGAAAGCTCATACAGAGTATATGACAACCAGATAAAGTAAATGTCTATCGGTTATAGAAGGACTAAAATAGGATCTGATTTACGTAATGGATCTAAGTTGCATGCCAAATAACACCAATAGAGTAAGAAATTTATTTTAATATAAAGAAACTGTTTTCTTTTTACTTCGTATTTAAATAAAGAATTTAATGACATTTATTAGTCAATATCAGTTACATGACATTTACTTGTTCAACTCATGACATAAGTTAAGATTTAATTAGCATATATTTTGATCATTACTATTATTTATGGCATCTTTGATCCAATTGCACTATTTGCTAACGTGTCATTACATGATATGTTTCACCTCATTTAATTAATAAACATTTACATTTAGATTAAACAGAAATTGAGAAATAAATCGAATACGTTATTAAGAATTTTGAAGTACATCAAATAATATAATAATCTATATTGTAATAGAGTCATAATCCAAGTGATAAATATTGTTGTGAGTAATATATATCATAGAGCCGGTGAAGAACAGTAGAGTCGCCACATGAAAGTTTAAATGTAAAACTAGTTTTTGATTATCCATTATAATGAGAATTCAGCTTAATGATATTATAAACTTTTTATTTTATAACTCTTTCATGAGTTTTAGAAATATGAACTTTGTTACTTCTAATTAGACATTTATTTTGAGTGTTAAAGTTAAGTATGAATAATATTTATTCATATGCGATTTAAATGATTTTAGTAATCTTACTAATTTATCTCAAATCGTAATTTGAGAAATTTATACATCATGATTGGTTAAATACATATTTGATATAATCACAATCTGAATCTTTTATGAGGTATCAATAGAAGTCTCGCTCCCGTAGTAGCATTTTCTAAAGATATTTTTCAAAATTTGTATTTAATGTGCTCTTAGTAGCATTTTATTACCTTGACTGTGTATGATGAAATTTTTTATCAATCGAATAACATTTCATTGCCTTCCTAAGGATTATTTGTGTTATTGTGAAATGTTATTCATGTTGATTTGATATGAATTAATTATTGAGAGTGATGCATTGAAAAGGATAGGTACGCCCGAATCTTCCTATTTATAATTAATATATATGGTCATTTTGGGTACATGCAATGACATTACATATGTGCTTATGTATAGTATATGGTAAATTTGATTATTAATTATTCATCGTTTAATATTTTATATTACATGTGGGTAATTATTCATATCAATGTCACTTCAACTAGTTATTCAAAAAACTTAAACTAGTATTACGTTTTAGAACTAGTATAGAGATTGTGGAGTAAAGTCTAGCTCATGAAGCAATGCTCAGATGCACTTGAAGTGTACTTGAATATCCCAATAAAATATAAATAAACTATAGATACAGAGTGTTGAGATCAAGTTGATTTACTTGAGACGAGAGATAACAAACAAAGTTTCATGAATGGAAATATGAAATTATAACATGTGCCTGAAGTCACTATAAAAGTATGGATTTTACATGGTAATTATTGAAATAAATATTATTTATATTTAATTATTGTTATTTAAATTATAAGAATATATGAAGTATATTTATGAAAATATGTTATTACACACCAAGATAAATTTTAGAAGTTCACGTAAATGAATAGTTTGTGACAACCCTTAAAGTACTCTTATGCAAATAAGATTATTTAACAACTTTAATTAACTTCACAAGATGCGTGAATCGTATTATTTCTATGAAAGTAAGATATCATTAGATTGATGATTACTTTAGAGATAAATTGCTTGTCTTAAGACAAGATAATATAATGCCTGTAGCATGTATATACTTGAGAGAATCATATAGAATAGTCATTTGATCATTTTTAAGGGTAATAATTATTGGAAGCACAAATTATATTCATAAACAAGTTGTGCACATAAATAATAATGATAAAATCTCAGGCATTGAATGTAAGCTCAAAGAAGCTACTCAAACACTGCGAAGTAATAATTTGAAAAGTGATATCATACTTATTGGGCGATAGTTTGAGACCATACCAATGCAGTGTAAATTGTGTTTCCATAATATCTGCCTGTAGCAGAATTCTCCTCACACCATACTATATATATATATACTTGAATAATTTAAACATGTGTTGCATGAAATTTAAGATTTTTGAATAAATGACCAATTTAAGATCAACCCAGGTTTAAACCAAATGTCGTATAAGACATCCAATATATAAATACTTCTTAGATAAGAAAATGACAAGACCGTCTATTCTCCCAAATATTTTAAAAAGTGGATCCATGGGAGTTAAGTGAACTTGAAGTTTCACAATGTGGGTTAATATCAAGTTTGGTCTCAAGATATGCTCTCCTAAAATGTCTACATATAATGAGTGGTATAAGACCATTTTGCCGGCTTCTATGAAATATAATGAAGAGCATAAGGTAACCCACAAAATATATCTAGCATTATAAGATGAATGTTACGCCTGAGATAAACTGCTAGAAAGTTGCTTGAATATATGAAGAAAATCTAGTTTATATTAATTCGGCATTTGTTAACATCTAACCCCCAAAGTTTACACGTTAAAATGAGCCAAAGTGTGCCAACATTGTAACCCCACTGCAGAAATGATGTACTCGGACCTCAGAAGTGGCTTCATATGTACGTAAATCCTTGTTCAAAAATCTTATGGCACATTTCCCGACACTAGGGGGAGATATAAAGGTATAAGCATAATTATATTTTGGAATGTCAGGAAAATATCCCAGAAGGATTGAATGACATGAAAAGAGAAACGTGTAAAATATGATTAGTAAACTGCCAAGTGACTAATAGAAATGATCATAAAGTTTGAGCTCAACCAATGCATGGAGCATGGTTTGACGGTCATTATGTGTATACAAAATGAAACCAGATCTTATTACAGTAAGTCACTTATATGCCTCTACAAGAGGATGATATAAGTTAAATGCTGCAGCTGATAAATTATAGAAAATTATATGATACAGAACATGAATTCCTCTTTTATGGCTCATATAGAGAGAGGATTTTGATGAAACAAAATTCATAGTTATTATAATGACTTCAATGATTTATTTTTCCAAGAATTTCGATTCATAATTCATAATAATAAAGTCTGGCCAGACGAAATATGATGGACCTGTAGTCCTAAAATTTTGTGAATCATGATCGATGCTTGTGGATGAGAATATATTTTATATTGGGTCTGAAGTCCCATAAATCAAGATATCGTGTACGTGGGGTGACGATACTTGAGATTGAATGATATGAGACTACATTCCTGTTATAGTTTAAAGTTCTGTGAATGTGGCAGTTGATGAGAAAATTGGATGTCATTGTTATAATATAATATCAATTGTGTCCCTGAAGGACAATAGTGAAAAGAAATATGTGCACACAAAATGCAACATGAATATGAATTCTTTTAACTTTATAATAATATTGACTTCAATGATTTATTTTTCCAAGACTTTCGATTCATAATTCATAATAATAAAGTCTGGCCAGACGAAATATGATGGACCTGTAGTCCTAAAATTTTGTGAATTATGATCGATGCTTATGGATGAGAAAATATTTTATATTGGGTCTGAAGTCCCATAAATCAAGATATCGTGTACGTGGGGTGACGATACTTGAGATTGAATGATATGAGACTACATTCCTGTTATAGTTTAAAGTTCTGTGAATGTGGCAGTTGATGAGAAAATTGGATGTCATTGTTATAATATAATATCAAATGTGTCCCTGAAGGACAATAGTGAAAAGAAATATGTGCACACAACATGCAACATGAATATGAATTCTTTTAACTTTATAATAATTAGATAAAGTGATTGTGTGTTAAGTTATGGTAATTATATTTGGAATTATTCTTGAAAAGGAATTTGAATTTGATTGAATAACTGCAACAATAAATAAAGCAGTAAATACTAAGCATAGCTGAAAAACATATAAAATGGACGCTTGTGCCTAACTACAACCTGGGTGATTATAAAAAGTGTTGATGTCATGATTTATTTTGTAGAAGAACTATGCTTGATGATCATGGTGCAAATTATATTATTTATTACGGTTGAACAAGGTACTTGCACCATGTCAAAATATCACTTGTAGTGAGTGCCTCCCATAGAGGATCTAATGTGAAGAATTTTCACATGATTTCATGACTACAATTTCAACTATTTTAAAGTGAGTTGTATTCGCACTACTTCTCAACCTTTCCTGCAGAAAGAGTTGATTGAGGAAATCATTATACAATGAATTTGCAATTACTCATAAACCTTCTATTTGTTTACCTGAAGTAAAAATATATTATTCTATGAACCAAATTGTATAAATAAAGGTGTTGGGAGCTTTTAAGCATCTAGCCAAATCTAGAAACAACACATAAAATATTTTGATTTGAATGGTGTTTGATTATATAATAAATAAAATTTCTAGTCTATATTGTGAACACCTGAAGTGTTTGTATACTAATTTGAGATCCTAGGAGGATCAAAACGTGTCTCATTTAAGTTTTATGAACAAATATTTGAGAATACCCAATTATTAAATGTTTGATGTGCATATGAGCATTAACACCAAATTTGATGGTCTTGAAATACACATTGCAAAATCATGAATTTAGACAATTGCTTCCGCTTATCGTATATTTTCACCTAAACATATTGAGTTGTTGTTGTTGAAGTGGAACAACTAATTGGTCCAGAAGATCATGTGCTATTCTTTTTCCTTAGCCAAGTTTTTGTCCCAAAGGGTTTTTCTTGGCCTAAGGTTTTGAGGTATTTTGTGGTTTTTAAATAGTGAGAAAGATACATAACATTCAGAAGACTATTATCCTCTAGAAGAGTGATTCTAATATTAGTTCGAAAGATGGTACCTTGAAGGTCTTAATCGGTTCTTTTGAGTTCAAGCAATTTATTGGTCCGGAAGACCAAATGCAATTGTACTCTTTTTCTTTAACCAAGTTTTTTCCCACAGGGGTTTCTTGGTCAAAGATTTTAACGAGGCAGTTTGTGATTCTCAAACAACATATTATGATCTTGGAATATTATTATTCTCCAGAAAAGTGAATTTAAAAGTGATCGAGAAGATTAGGCCCTGAAGGCAAATGACTGCACTCTTTTCCTTTACTAAGTTTTTCCCACGTGGTTTTCTTAGTTAAAGGTTTTTAACGAGGCAGTCAATACAACACATCATTTTATATATGATATGCACTCTTTTCCTTGATTGGTTTTTTCCCAAAGGGTTTTTCCAACAAGGTTTTTAATGAGGCATACACATAGTACAATTTGTGCAACAAGAAGTCTGTGACCAGAATAGATTGGATTCTACAAGAAGTCTTCAAGTGATGCAGTCAATAGGGGGAGTACATACACGCTGCACTCTTTTTCCCTTGACCAGGGTTTTGTCCCACTGGGTTTTCCTCGGCAAGGTTTTTAACGAGGCAGCATTTTCAAACGTACAAAGAGAATAATCATTTTTGTAATGCTTATATTTAGTAATGTACATCTAAGGGGGAGTGTTATGTAATTAAGTAGATGTCCATTAATCATAGGCCCATATGCAATGGCCCATATCATGATTGTAACCCTAGCTCCCCCTCCCTTGTATATATATGTGGCTACATGTGAATGAATGATAGCTTTTGATGGTTGGCTTATAACAATTTTTATTTTTTAAGTACATAAAACAAAGAAAAAAAGGAATACTTATAGCTTTCAAATGTGAAAAATCTTCGATGAGTGTTTAAAAATGAGCTGAAAAACATTAATATTTGTTACGATGTGCATCTTTAATATAAGAGCATCTTTAATGCTACGATGTGCACAATGCACATGTGACATGAGAGATAACCACATAAATATTTGAAAATAAATTATCTTTCTCCTTATTTGAATGATTTTGTACAATTTTGGTAAGATTTTCTCTGCAATGTCAACAACGATGCTAACATCTAGACGGCCTTCTTGACATTGCAGAGAAAACCTTACCAAAATTGTACAAAATCATTCAAATAAGGAGAGAGATAATTTATTTGCTAATATTTATGTGGCTATCTCTCATGCCACATTTGCATCGTACACATTGTAGCATTGGAGATGCTCTAAGATAGACATGTAACCATAGTATCCAATTTGATCCATTTAAAATCTTAGTGTTCAATATGAGATTCACATGTAATCATAGTGTCCAATTTGACCCTTATTCTCTTAAATAACTGGGGCCAGGTAATAGTTTTTTTAGGTATACGTGTATACTGAGTATACGGAGTACATTACAGAATACTTGTTATTATTTAAAAATATTTTTTATTATAACAATCGTAATCTACAACCTCGAACACTACATGAGCTATCAACAACCTCAAACACTACAGCTATTTTGAAAGTTGACAGTCACAATAGACTTTAGAGCATCTCCAATGCAAGGGTGTGGTCTCTTACACACCCTTACACATGAGTCGCATTTTTTATCTCACAATTTTTATGTGTAGGATCAACATATTTCCTAATTTATTTTAATTTTCATTTTTTTATATATGACTTTTAACTCATTTTTCATCAACTTTTCCTCGTCGAATCGTGTGCAAGGTTCATTTATAGACCTTGTCATAGACCTAGGTCTAATTTTTATCTCTATCTCTCTCCTCTTTTTCATTTTTTCCTACACACCACTTCATTCAAATATTCATTCTATCTATATCTCTCCTGTGTCTTTTTCTCTCTCTCTCCTATGTCACATCACTATAATTCATCCTCCCATTGGAGATGCTCTATTTCCTGATACTATTTCCCGATCAGCAATAACAAAGTAATGATAATTGGCATTATCATCCTCTTGGGAAGGTAACATGACATTCGTTCTCGGAGAATCTTGATAGAGGTATGACCCAACTTTATTGTTATTCTTTTGTTGTTGTGTTTGTTCTGTTCTAGGATGGTTCTCTCCCGGGCACGGTGATCCGGTGTGTTTATCAATCCACTGACCAAATAACAACATGAAGTGACTGCATAGTTTGTGCACTACCATCTTTTGGTGAGATGGTTGGTTGATTAATCAACACTCTGAAATCCTCAAGTCATTTTCTGCGACCTAAGACTAAGAGGCCGTTTGGCAACACTATTTTTCGGCTTATCAGGCTTATCGGTCAACTTTTTCACCAAACACGTAACTTTTGCTTTAAAGCGCTGAATTTTGTAATAAGCAGAAAAAGTAAAGTTGAAGATACTTTTCTGGCCGTATTGGCTGAAATTACTATGTATGACCATTTTAGCTATTTTATATATAATTTTTTCTTTATTTTATTAATAAAATATATTTTAAAATTATTTTTTCTTAAATCAACAGAATCAGCCAATGCAGCCACTTCAGTCAGAACTTCAGAAATTTCAGCAGAATCGACCAAATCAGCCGATTTTCATGCTACCAAATGGGCTCTCAATCCAGAATTGGAAATTTTTTATTATTGAAAATAATTCTCTTCATGCCGACAGAGCATGATATAATGATAAACAAACTATAATCTTTTCATTTTTTTCAAACCAATCGCTCAAATCCCTTTATTAAAAAGGTATAGTATAAGTCAAGTAACTTGTGGTCTGATGGCATCACTGTGACACTTCTAAAGAGGAGGTCACATGTTTGAATCTCATCCCAGTTCAAGGATGTTGACCTTAATAGAACAGATACTATAATAGGTTAGCAACATTTGTCCCAAAAAAAGATATAATATAAGTAAGCATATGCTATGACTATAAACAAAAGTGCAGGGTTATCTTTTTCCTAGTGATTTCATGTGTGTTGTTGAAATCGGTGTTCCATAACAAACCACTATATAGTCCATATATTTTATTTTACAGGGTGACAAAAGAAACTATTGAAGTCTTTAATTGTTGGCATTGATAATGAAATCAAAATGAGATCATAAATACTCTATAGGCTTTTTATGTGTCTTATCATACAATGAAAAAATACATTATGTACTATTATGACGTTTTTAGAATAAATTCCACTTTTGATCTTATGAGCATCTCACCAATTCCATAATTGGTTCATGTCTTTGAATTTGAAAACTTTTGAACATGATTATTGTTTTTCATCCATATATAATCCTTCTGTCAATGTTTTCGGCGGTAAAAAGTGACGGAAAATGACTACAGATAATCCAAAAACATTAGTCAAGTATCAAAAGTAGATAAAATATAATGTGTGGATTAAATGTGAATTGACGTAAAATTCATGGTGCCAAAAATGAAATTAAATCTTTTCTTTTATCACAATAGTATTAGTAATTGTTTCAAAATAAATAACTTGGTGTATAACAATTACTTGGCCAAAATATCAACCTGTGTGTCACAATGGTTAACACATTCATGTTTTGTTTATACATGGGAAAGTAACACATTCATGCTGTTAAGAAGAGTTGAGCGGTGTTTAAGGCGGTAGATGAATCATTTTTTATTTGAGAAATTCTCAAATGCACTCTTATTTGCTTATAAATAAATTTCTACTGACATATGAGATTTCTAAATTCTAATTGTGATTAAATGAATAGATGTATGATTTTTCAACATATGCTAAGAATAGTTACATAGACTTTTTCATTTTTTTAAATATAGAGAACGTTATTCATGAAAATGATAAATATCATCGAACAAGGCAGTGAAAATGTTGCATTTATTACAAAATGGAATAGCTCCCCATGGACCATTTGAAGATTTCTCTATGTAGTTTCTTAGGCGGATATTAAGAGTTGTAAACACAACACTGTCATTCTTTGGAAAATATCATCGTGAAGAAATATTTAATATATATTTATTTTTGAAATTGTTTTGTTACATTCCTTGGTCACTCTATCAAATTAAAAAAAAATAATGATTACAATTTAATTCTTAAAAGAAAGTTTTTATCAAAATAGTATTGTCACAACAAACTCTTCACATTTTTGGCTGTTAATGAAGGATTGAAGGAACAGATGTTATTTCATGGATACGTTTTGTATGTTTCAATTTTCAGAGTACAACTGAAGGAAATCAAAAAATTTATTTGTAGAGTGTGACAATAAAAGCACAAACAGACCACTATTATTGTGTACGGGGAAGTTTTGCTACGTACATCATGTTATACATTGAGATTTTATTCATTTATGATTGATTTTTGTACGTATGTAATTAGTACCTCACTGGTACAATATTTTATGTAAAGAATCAGCTTCTTGAAAACCAATTTTTTCCTCCCGTGCATCCCACGGGTACGATAGGATAACCATATAAATTCATGGTCCTTCTTAAAACTTTTCAATAAAATTTATGTTGTTATTAGGTAGCTTTTACACACAAAAAAAAAACTCTATTCTATTAGACTTTGAATTTTTTTTACTTATTTGTCTCATAAACTTCATCGTTTACCCATTAAATTAACTTTTTTTGCTTTTTAGATTTGCCTCTCGCAAACCTCAATTACTTAATTTTTTAGTTTTTTATTTTTCACCTTATCCAAATTAGCAATGTGTAAGGGAAGAGGTAATATTTTTTACTTTATGGGGACATTTTCTTAAATATTTTTGTAAATATTTTCAGAGAAAACGTCAATTAATGTATCTGAAGAGCGCAGATTGGAATGTGAACAGTCCTCAATGGCAACTTCTATCACTTCTTTGAGAGATATCACTAATGGTAATACAGTAATTATGATTATAGTATATACAAAATAATTTAAAAATTGTCTTTTGTAGTAATAATGCTGCAACATATGCCTAAAATGATTTATTGTAGGAAATATACCATCAAGTTTCACTAAGATTGGTACATATCCTGAAAGTAATGTTTCCATGTATATATATCAAGGATATTCATGGAATTCGATAGCAGCTCAGAGGTTCGCGGAAACTTTGAACAACAAAACAAAAGGTACGTGAAACTTAAATAGAACATGTTGAATGTTTTGGTAGAAAAAACATATTTTAATGTTTTTTTAATATTAGGTACTTCGCATGTGAATGACTACGTTGAGAATGTAGTCACGTGTAAGAATTAAATTAAATATATATGTTAGTTGACATAAATTTGGTTTTTGATAATAAGTAGTTAACTAAATTATTAACTTATCACTCCATTTTGTCAAAATTATAGATCAACAAGTCAATCATGATCCTATTAATATGTTGGCAGTTGAAAAATGCTTACCTACACGAGCATCGTAAAGTCAATGTCGTAACACAAACAGATGTATGTAACAATTGTTGATGGTCTTGATAAAGAAGTTGAACATTCAGGTATTTTTTAAATAAATATAATAATATCTTGATCATATATGTTATGGTTATTAACATTTGGAAACTAATTGTTAAATAAATTCAATAGATGATGATGGCGACTACTATTCTGGATCAAAGATAGTTTCAAGTGGTAAACTTATAATTTGATCCTGTTATTGTTACTACTATTATACACTGACTAATAATGGTGCCAATAGAATAATAAAGATATGCTACTTATATTTATTTTGAAATTTACAAGGATATTAGGATGTTGGTGACCCTGAGTATTCATGTGAATTTTGCGGAGCCTTATTTTGGTTCGATGAGAGGGTAGAGACCAAGTACAAGGCACGAAGTCCAACATATTCTGGATGTTGCATGCAATGAGCAAACACTTTTTGGATAATATTCGATCATATAATTTCATGTTTTCTTTTAGATCAATGGGTGGAAAAATTGACAACAGTTTTAGTAAAGGCAAATCACCCCCAATTTTTAAGTTACATGGGTAGAACTTTCATCTAATGGGTACTTTACTACCAACGAACTCCAATGTGCCTAAATTTGCACAATTATATATTTATGATACTGAGAACGCAATCTCTAATAGAGTTAATTCTGTTAGGTAATTTTGTGTTTCCATATTCTAATTTATACATTCTTTTTGTTAATTAATTATTGTGTCCTTCCCAATGGACTTTGCACTGTTTGAATGAGCAGAACCACAAAATAGTTACTTTAATGGAAAAGTAGCAAAGTTTTTTTGGACAACCAAAAAACAAAAGTTGGCAAAGTCTAGTGGTACGGAGGGAATAATTAATTAATTTTAATAATATCTCTTTATTACAAATCACTCCACATTTTATTTGTAGGAGTAAAGATGATCATCATAATTTGCATGAACAAATTGTGGAAGATCTTAAGAAGACGCTTGATGAAAATGTCTTAGTAAAGTCATTTAGAATGGTAGGCAAGAAAATCCGCGATGAAGAGGGTGTGGCCGTGTGGGTTTTAAATTACATCTTATTGGAAGAAGATGAGGAGATGCTAGAACTTACAATCTTCCTTCGATATCAGAAGTTGATGCCTTAGTTGTAGGTGATTTTGATTTATCACTTGGAGAAAGAGATATTTTGGTGGAAACATGCTCCAACGGGTTGCAACAAATTAATGAATTGCATCCCTCATATTTGACACTTCAATATCCTTTACTTTTTCCATATGGTGAGGATGGCTTTAGGGAAGATATACCCTTTTTCAACAAAAAGAATGATCCAAAAGTGGAGGAGACAGAAGATTAGTGTGAGGGAATTTATTGCATTTCGCTTGCACAAGAGAGTTTCAGAATTTTCCACTATTTTACGTGCAAATAGATTGTTTCAACAATTTGTTGTTGACTCTTACACTTTGATTGAATCCAGTAGATTGAGATATATTCGCACTCATCAAAAACAATTGAGGTGCAAAATGTATAAGGGTTTGACAGAAGCATTATTGCGTGGTGATGTTAATCCAGCCACAAAGGGAAAATGAATAGTTCTCCCATCTTCTTTTACATGTGGAGCTAGATACATGATACAGAACTATCAGGATGCTATGGCCATTTGTAGATGGATAGGCTATCCTGATTTATTTATAACTTTCACAGGCAACCCAAAGTGGCAGGAAATTATAAGATTTTTAAATAAAAGAAATCTTAAGCAGAAGATCAGCCGGATATTGTTTGTAGAGTCTTCAAAATGAAGCTTGATGGACTAATCAATGACTTCCGTCAAAAAAAAGTATTTGGCACAGTTAAAGCACCGGTATCTATCTCTTACATATGATGACAAGCACGGGCTCCAGGCCAGCCAGAGAATATCAACACATGATATTTATTTAAGATGACAATCAATCATCCTCAGGACTTGGATGTATTTATGTTCTCTTGATCTTGGAAAATGTCCCAGTTTCTGAAAAGTACGTACTCTGAGTTCCTGAGCCTAGCTGGTTTGCATATGGTTGTGGGTTTGAAAGTTCAATCCCCTGAAAAAGAAAAAAACAACCCCAGTTTGCATCAAACTGCAGATAACTGAAAACAGGTTCGAACAACTACACATCCATCAATGTCAATTAGAGCCAATAGTATAATCATACCTGTACAGGGGTGAAGCTTAAACTTGATGTCAGTCCTGAGGTAGCACCACTGCTTCCATAACTCCTATCCTTAAATCTGAACAGATATTCAATCACCAGACATGCTCATTAGCTAAGCAAATAGAATTAAACACACACACAGAAAATTCTTCATGCTGCTGCTGACCCACCTCCTTCCTAAAAATGGGAAGTGTCACGGGGTAATTTCATCATATCGACTTGTGTGAGAAATGAATGGACAGGGGTTTTTTATCCCCAAGAAGATGTCGTGGGGGTGCACAGCATCAAAGTCTTTCCATCCATACACGTAGAGGGAAAATGAACTTAACATACTTCTTTGTTACTTTGGCAGCAAGCTTGCTCCTACCAAGTGATACACGTAATTTACCACTTCCTGCCTGACCAAGCATTCCATATCCCTCACCCAAACCATCCCCTATATATTCCATAAAGATAACCAATCATGACCAAGTGAGTGGTAAAAACAGTACATCAAAAATCTATTGCAACACAAAATCGTTACAGACATCCTCAATCCGAAAGGGTTGAAATTCTAAAAAGCTGCTAGCCTGCTAAAATTAAATTCTCATTCTCAGTCCCCCACTTTTGACCCATCATCCAGAGGGACATTTTGGGACAATGAAATATGAGAGGACAAAGAAAAGCAAGGGAAAAACACAGATGATGAAGGGAGAAGATATCATTACTTACCCAATGAGCTCTCTTCAGGCACACCAAACTGCATTCTGTTCGCCAGCTTCCGCATGTCTGTAACAGCATACCTGGTGAAAGTTATAAACATGATAGGTTGATTACATTTTTTTCCACGTGAGCTGATCAAATAATAGAATAGCCCTTAAAGTTTAAGTACCAATAAACCCTTTGGACAGTCAAATTTGTCATTAATGATACCACTAAACACCAAAACATGCTTACTGTATCTTATCTATCAGTGTCATTTAATGAATATTTGACATGTCAATGGGTGTACATGTAATTTACTGAAGCCTCTGGGGTTATTGGGAAAAATGATGATGAAAGTAACCCTAAATACAATTACTATTATATTTCACAGCACAGACGATAGAAGTCATTCAAATGTTCTACCCGTCACCCGATATAATTTGCATGAGATGGTCTCGTTACCTTTCTTTCATCTTTCTTAGTCTGCGCCCACCTCTTTTTTTTTTAGGTTCGGAATCTGGAACTGGAAGGGGTTTAGGCTGCTTCGCAGGGGGTGGTTCTTGCTATTTCTCAATCTTCTTACGGATCTCTTCTAATAGAGATCGCCCAGTTTTTCCTGTTGGATCTCCCCTGGTTGAGTCCACACGTGCCGCAAGGGTAGATTTCGCAGCCAACAGTCGGCAGGCACGCGTCTTAAGAGACGGAGGAGTGGTCTGAAACATTTCTGTCTGCTCGAGATATCCAATTCGATATTGGGACGCCGCCTTGGAGAACCCGGCAAGGTTCTTCCTTTTAGCACCAAGAAGTTGCACGTTACAAGCAGGCATCTTTGCTAACGAAGAAAGCCCACCAGCAATCCCCATGAGTTTTGCAGCAACAGCACTTCCTACAATAGCAGAGAGGTTCGGTGCAATATAACCCATTCGGCTCTCCACAAAATCGAGGACTTTCTTCTTTGATAAATCCAGAGTGAACGCACGATCACATGCTTCTATCGTCTTCTGCAAGACATCTTCAGGAAGTGGCTTGCCATTTGTAGTTGATGCTGTAACTGAAACCACCATGATAATAGCTGAAGGCAACAGCCCTTCAAGATCAACAAGGGTGAGGTCCATCTCATTCCCAATTTTCTTAACAACCCGGGCATAGTCAATCGGGTGGTGAACCAGAGACTCCAACTCTGGGAATTTCAAACGGTACTTATCACGTATGAAATTATGGATTATTATAATTTCATTTTCAATATCAACCGACAATGCATTACAATCAACAATAAGCTGGTACTCCGGATCATCTTCCAGAACCATTGTCCCTTTATCTGAGTTTTCTGAACCCTTTTCCAGTGCTTCTTCTACTTTCTGCAAACATAAGTAGCATACCAATAATAAAATACACTCCCTCTGTTCTTTGTTTAGTGTCACCTTAGCTGTTGTACATAAAAAATGAAGGCAATAAAAATTTATAAAGCCAAGGTAAAGTAGTCTAATACGACCAGGATAACCCTATTAATGTTTTAGAGTAACATGTAACATTATGGTCTTATGGAGTTATGGATAGAGAAGGGTAAAACCGTAAAACATATTAAAGGGAATGCTATTTCACAAAATATAGGTTCTCGGGAATGTTATTACAAAAGAAAAGGGGAATCGCATATAAAAAATGTCAACATAATATCCTAGTTTTGATGTTCGAGAACTTCTTCTAACCTGCATAATGTTGATATAACGTTGCGTCCTCTGCAATTTAGAGACGCTATCCAGATCATCATAATTAAGTGTTTCTATATCGGCTAGCTCACCATCAACATCTTCCTCCATGTGTTCAGCTTCCCCATTTGCATCATCCTTTTGTAAGGAAAAATTAATGAAAATCAGAAAGAGAGTTACTTATCACCCCATAGTGACCCAACATCATTATGTATGCACACTAATAAACAAGAATTAATTATTACCCAGCATCATCAAGCACTTATAAAAATGTAAATACAGCTCTCCATATTCACTTTCATCACCACAGAAAAATGAGACAATTGGAAGAAGGAAACAAGAAATGCAAATAATTAATGCATTTCAAATTGTACGCTAAATAAATATGGCACTTGACTCACAAGAATATCAGCTTCATTGTCAGATAATTCATCCAAATCTGCTAAGAAAGCATCACCAAGAGTTGCCTGTGAACGAAAATAAACAAAAGAAATAAGAACTACAAGCCAGCTTAGAAGCTGAGGAGCATGTCAAACAAATATTAAGCATTTTATTGAAATGGGAGAAAAAAGTCAATTCACAAATATTAAGCATTTTGTTTTTTTAACTGAAGAATGTGATTATACTCCAGTATTTAGTGGTTTCTACTTGAATAAACATGGTTTCTTCAAAAAATGGTTTGATTGATTCCAATAGTGAATATAATGGGTAATACTAAGATTCTGATGGTTGAAATCCAACAAACAAAAGGTTCATAAAAAATTTATGTTTTGTCAGAGTAACTGCACTGGATATTTAGAAAATAAAATTGATTGAAGCCACTAGTAAACAAATAAGGATATTTTGGCTTCATTCTCTGAGAAAAGCAAGTTGTGTGAAACACAAATGATATACACTGAAGCTTATGTCAATATCATCCATATAAATTCCCACATCCTACCATTCTATAAAAAAAATCTCTACTGATCCATTATCATAGGATGTGCAAAGTCATTAAACTAAAAAAACAAAGAGCAAAGGACAGAATTTTATCAATTCAGGACCTCAAAGATAGACGAATTATCAATCCGAAACCTCACATATGAAATGTATCGATATAGGACTCGAATGATGGAAAACTATCTATTTAGGACCTCAAAGATTGAAAACTATCAATCTAGGACCTAAGTTGTCATGAATTTTATTATCTTTTTTATTTTAAAATTTTTAAATATTATCTAGGACTAATAAACTTTTGTGAAGAAAAGTTTATCAAAAATTAGCAATGGAATTAAAAAGAAATTAAACAAATCAAAACCTATGAAATGTTAGGTCCTAGATCGATGTTTTCCATCATTCGAGTCATATACCGATACATTTCATCTTTCGGGTCCAGATCGATAGTTCATCTATCTTTCAGGTCCTAAATTGATAAAATTTCTTGATCAATAATACAATACCTACTTACTACTTAGAGAACGTTTGGTAACACTGGAATTGGCTGATTCGGCTGATTTTGATGAAATTTACAAAGTTCTAGCTAATATGGTTGTATTGACCGATTCTGCTGATTTATGAAAAAATTATATTTAAGATGTATTTGATTAATAAAATAAAGAAAAAATTATAAAGTGGTCTTCTACTATAACTTCAGCCAACTCACGTCACGAAATCAAAAGTTATTTGTTTGATGAAAACATCTGTTTATAAACCTGATGCGTGATGACCATCAAACATGTCTCTCTACAATTGCAAAAATAAGTACGCATCCAAATTTATACTTGAATGGACTGGAATTGAAGCAGTTTGTTCTAAACTGATAATTGAAGGTACATGAGCATCAAATCTAATCTAAAGAATTAACATACCACAACATTTGCCTAAGCAGAATTGAGGAGCATTGCAAATTAAAAGTTGAGCGTCGCTAGCAAGGAAAAATTACCTCCATCATCGGCTGAACCCAGGGAGTGTGGCGGCCGCCGATAAAAGGAAACCTGTAGTCTGGCCGCCAGTAAACTTACTAACTTGAGCGCCGCCAGCAAATTAGAAGAGAAATTAGAAGAGAAAATACCTTTGCCCCTTTCTCCCTGCGTTCGTCTTTGTTTCGTTCTGCTTTCAGAGAGGTTGCTTCTCCGTTTAATTTCTCCGTCAAATAAGTGGGTTTGGATAAGTGTTTAAAGGGTGGGTGGAAGTGATTCTGCTTCTACTTCTTTTTTAAAGCAGAAGCAAAAGCAGAATCAGAATCATTTTTCAGAAGTTGGTATTTCCCAGTTTCTAAAAAAACTGATTTTAGGAGTAAATTAGAGCACCATAATCACTTCTTCATTTTCACCCAAACACTCCAATTTCTGTTTCTGCTCCCTGAAGGAGCAGAATCAGTTTTAAGAATCAGATCCAAACACCCCCAAAAAATCGTAAGGTTTACCCGCAGCTGTAGATAGTAGGTTCAGCCGCAGGAAATTTGGTCTGATCAAGCTTCGAAACCCGCAGCGGCTGTGTGGAGGTCGAACCTGAAATAAGGGTGGACCTCTTGTGCGCACGGGAAAAAGGTCTATCATCATTAGGCCGACTGAGTCATCGTGATTAACATCCTCCCAAAAATCCTGTCGGGTCGGGGTATGGGGGCTCCTGGGGTGGGAGATTCCACCTTTTGGACCAAGAATCGTAAGGTTTTGATCGGTCCAACAAGGCAGAGGCAGGGTACCTCCCTACCACGATTATTAAGAAAAGGGGGTTTGTGTGATTGATATTAAATTGATAAAGTAAAAATAAAGTAAGAATGGTTTAGAGTCACACAATCTTTACCAAATTTGGTATGAGATAATCTTAGTAGACTTCCCGAAAAGGTAAAATGGGACAATCTTAGCAGGACGAAGGGAGTAACATGTACCGTAGAATTTTCCACAGAGAATTTGTTATCTAGGCTTTAAAAAACTTTTTGTGTTTTAGCATAGGTAGTGACATGCATTTAAGGATTTGGATTTATAGATTGTAATTGTAATATATTCAGAATAGGTTTGTAGATAAAGATAAGATCAAATTGAGCACAAGTAAGAGTAGTTAATTAGTTGAAACTCACATAGCAATCTTCTGAGTGGTTTAATATCAACATAGCAAACCTAATGTTTAACATGCCAGAGATTAATCATATAAGGTATTTGGATTAATATCATTATGCATACATTATTATTCAGTTTAGAGAAATCATAAACACCTGATTGTGAATGTTTAACAGTTTTCTTATATGCTGAGATGATTATAAAGTAGTGAAAAGTGATCTTACCCTGACCTAGCTGGCTAGCAACTTTCTTCTTAATACAACAGCAGCTGCATCAACCACACATGTTTGTGTTTGGTTTTATAGAGGCATATGAACCTCCTTACGAGTACACTTCATATGTATTAAAAGAATGTGTGTAAACATATGAAGTATATTACTATTCTATTGTAATATAAAGAGACAATTATGTGGGTGGGACATCTAATCATTATATTTGGATTACATAGATGATTAATTTATCATGCACAAATTGTTTTTATTATAATGCCTCTGGCGATGTTTATGGGATTTTTAAAAGACTAATTGACTATTTTCTACTAAATTCCAAGTCATAAACAGAGCGTTTACTTGGATCAGGGAGATATTGGAATTGGACATTGTAAAAAGGGAAAAGTATGGATTACGTACATGTGGTTGTGACCGTTTTCACTAGGGGTCTGTGATGAACTTTGTAACAAACGCACCCTCGTGTTTTCAAACCGTTACCACCCGCGGGGTCCCTTGTACATGGCCGTTAGTAAAGTGCGACGTGGCATAATACTTTTTCCAAATAAGCTCCAACGTGACCAATGGAGAGCAATTATTTGAATTCCTTAAAAACAAAAAAAACTTTAGTCAAATTAGGGCTTAAGAAAATACGAATTAGGCACGATAGAGAAGCTTCTTCCTCACATTCGGTTCTTTACCTACGTTTGAAAGAAGGATCACTGTTGGTCGTAGTAGACAAAGGACAAGAACGTAAGAACTGGGGTATGGAAGTTTAGTTATTTTCGTCTTAACGGCCTCGGGTGAAAGTAAGTACTTGAACTAGTCTTCGTTTAGAAGTGTGGTATAGATGGCTAGGTTTCATGTTAGGTACACTTCCATGAGTAAATATAAGGGTGAAATTTGTCCTAATAAGCAGGATGTACTAGAAAAAATCAAATTTGAAAGTAGGAATTGTTTTTCTACTCCTGCTGGGGACAAGCTGTTTGAAGTTGATTTCTATGATACTAGTCATGTGGTTAATCTTAGAGATAACACATGTACATGTCAAAGGCAAGATTTGAATGGGATCCCTTATAAGCATGGAGTGTCTGCAAATAGAGAGAAACGTGAAGACTATGTGAGTGTTTGTTATGCTAAATCCACCTATTTGGTTGTCTATAAACACATTATCCATCCTCTACCAAGTAAAGATGAGTGGGAGAGGACAGATACTCTAGATATTGAGCCCCCAATCCCTAGAAAAACTGCAGGAAGACCCAAGAAAAAAGGATTAAACAACCTGGTGAAACACGGAATCCCTTTAAGGTGTCTAAGGCAGGTAAGCAGGTGATATGTGGCAATTGTTAGCAAGTGGGACACAATGTTAGAGGGTGTAAGACATCCATAACTGGAGAAACACCATGGAAAAGGAGAAAGAGGTTAGGAAAGCAAAAATCTGGCCAAACAATCCTAGGTGGTGGTGATGACAGAGCTGACCCAACCTCCCATGTCCCAGAGCAGACTGCCAATAATGAAACTCATATGTCAACTCTCATTGCCCATGATCCACTTTCCCAAAGGAATTGAGGAAGAACACAGAAGTAAAGAAGAATAAGCTGTTCACAATCACCCCAACCATGAGCGAGAAGAGTGACTAGGTCCTCAAGTTCACAGCCCTCAATGGTATTTTTTTTTGTTCTTCATTTTTAGTGTAATCTTTATTGTGTTGTGTTTACACTTATTGTGATCTTATCATTTGTTTCAGGATCCAGACCACTAAGGATGGAGTGGTGGGAAAGAAGTAAGCATGCAGTTGTAGTGTAGGGAGATGAAGATGGGTAGTTTTGAAGATATGATATGTTTTCAAATCAGTTTTATTTTCTTGTATATCATGCCTTTTATGAGCATGTGTTTTGTAATGAAACTTATGTAAGAAACATATTTCCCATGTGTTTTGTTATAAACTTTTGTATGACATTGTAATGTAACGTCTTTTGGGTGCAATGTTACTTCTTATGGGTATATTACGAAGTAACTTCACATTTTGTTATGAAGTTCTTAGATGACATTGCAACTAATCATGCAGTTTGCCCATTTTCTTTTCAGTATTTTGGATTTTTTGGGTGTGAATGGATGGTGTCAAACCTATTGTTCTGTTTTCATGTTATTGTTCACGGATTTATCAATGTTTTTGGGTATATATATGTGGTTAATGGTTGGTGTCAAACCAAATGTTCTTTTTTACAGGCAATTGTTCAACCCTTTATCAATCATTTGAGTATGTATATGCTCTTAATGGATGTTATCAAACCAAGTGTTCTGTTTTACATGTTTTGTTTTGTAAATCCAAATGGTCTGTATATGTGAATGCATCTTTGTGAAACAAAATGTTTTATTGAACCCTGTTGTTCAGTATCTGTGGATAACAAACTTCATAGTTCATACATTAAAGAACTTCACACATTGTTTTTGTTACAATCATCAAACATTGTTGCATTACATATCACATTACACAAAGCAAAAAAACTACAAATGGAAGTGAACACAATTACATCTAGTTCAGTCATATCATCAAACACATTGACAACAATTTACACCTAAAACCTTCTACTTGCAAAGAAGAAGAAAATGAACAGGGCCACACAAAGTAGCTTCCACTTAAAAGTCAGATTATCATTCTTAGCCATCTTCAATTGCAGTTCCATGTTCCGCACCTTCAACACACCAATTCAACGAACACGGCTCTTGATTTCACCCTCCATCTCCATCTCTTTCATCCGGACATGTTCTTCAAGTCTTCCAACCTTCTGAAGAACCACATCTAAGTTCTCCTGACAAGTACGACATGTGTCCTCCTCAACCCACTCGAAAAATTTGCATTGTTGACCACCCCCACTCGAATAACGCCCACAATCATGAAACATTTTCCCTCTATTCTTCTCTGTTGTCGTCGTCCAAATTGGTGCTTGGACTCCACAATCGCACATCTTCAGTTGTTGTCTTCCATCCATAGCAGATGAGCTTGAATTTGAAGAACTCGTCTTTCTTCTTCACACCCTAAGTGCATGTGGAAGATTTCTATACGGAGTATTGTTATAGGGTTCAAGATTGGGATTCACATTACTTAATAATACGGATAATGACAAGGCGCTTCAAGATTGGGATTAGAAGCCACGTAATCACACATGTGGCAAATAATGTTCCACTTCAGCATTATTTAAACGGAATCAAGACGGAACCTTATGTGGTAACCATTTAAAAACACAGAGTGCTTTTGTTACAAAGTGAAAACTGCCACAATCCGTACTTTTCCCTTGTAAAAAATAGTTTCTTGAAATCATTGTTTCTTCTAAATACATAATTACAATCTCTATTTGAGCAGATTAAACTAAACTCCCTCCGAGAGGAAGGAAGGGAGGAATGAAGGAAGATGAGCTGCCTCGTATCATCGGCAATCCACCCCGCTGTATCTGAATTCCTCCAAACCTCGAGATTTCCGAAACCAGTAAAGTTTGCTTCTTGAGATTCATAGTGATTGCCGAGACTTTAGAAGCTTCTTTTTGCAATTCAATCCCAGAATTTTGTAATAAAAAAAAGTACATCTTTACCAGGTGGACACTAAAAGAACAGAACATAAAAATGCTGTCTGGCATCTCGGGAGGAGGTCAATCTCCTAGTCGGTGAGCTTTCCCCATTTTACCAAGAATTGTGTTGATATTAGGGCTCTAACTCGTAAGCTTTATTGGTTCTAAGCGTTGGCAGTTGAAATTTTGAACAGAAAACTGCAAATTTGGATTTAATTTATATGCTGCGAGGCTAACTATTCTTGCCTATTTTAGTACATCCATATGTGACAATAGAAACAGTATCTACCATTGTGGGTTTAAATATATTCTTGATTAGCATTTGAGTTATTTTGAACTTTTGTTATTTTTTCCCCATCTTCTGGGAGTAGAATGTTTTGTAAATTGAGAATCTACCATTATATGAAGGATGCCGACCATTTTCTTTGATCACCTATTGGTGTTTTTCTAATTGTCTTTCCTAACTCATAACTTTCGTAAAGGTTTGAGTTGCTGAGTATGGTGAAGAAGCACTCAAAGTTTTTAGGGAAAACCATAGTTGAGGAGGAGGATCCGTCGGATGTGGAAATGGATCCACAGTTCTGGCATGAAGTGCTGGATTTGTTTTTCATAAGTGGTAAGGAGCCAAGAGGTCGCCAAGAGGATGATCTTGTTTTCTTTGTACGGAAAATGGTACTTCCTCTTTTATGTTTACCTGATAATATTCATTGGTGCAATATAACTTTTGGTGTAGTTTTAAATGTTGTTTGTGTGCGCATACAAGCAATTGAGCTGTATATATAATTTTGTCCAGTTATATTAAATAATGTTTGGCAATAATATAATTGAGAATAGCTTCAATCTTGCCTTGTTGGACTAGTAAGATACTAAAATAGAACGGGAGTGTGATAGTTCTAGTTTTTCATCTATTTGTGCGATGTGCAAGATTTCTTAAGCTGAATCATTGAGTTTGTAATGTGTGGGTTGTTGGATGTGTCCTAATGTATTTCTTGTAGAGTGGGCAAGGATATGAATCCAACAACAGTAGTGAAGACAACTCCCCTTACTTTGTGCGTAGGTGGACTCCTAAGGTAAAACTATTGTTACTTCATTAGTCATTCATCCAAGTGTGTTCACATGCATGCTGAAAATTTCATCTGTTGTTCACACTATCACAACATAGTGACTAGTACGACTAGATAAACATTTATTCATTATAGGCCTAACTTAAATACTTACTTTGCTATAGGACGAAGTTCAGAGGTAAACTTTTTTTATACAAGTGATAAAAAAGTATTTAACCTTGTAACAACATGAGTAAATTCTTCTGTTGTTGTTTGGACACATTGACACAACAATTCTGTTTTGGTGCTTTCCCTTAAATGAATTTAAACAAGAATGAGACCTGGTTTTAAAATTGAGGACGATAGGTTTTTCTTCATTGCAGTTGGATGATTTACTTGGTGAAAACTCAGTAAGTGTGGATTGGAGGCGCTCATTTTACTTGAACTTGATTGCTCATACAACTTTCAGTGTGACTGTAGCAATATGCAGGCAATGCTCTTTTTCTTGACACCATGATACTGTGATTTGAAATTCAATAAATGATTGCATCTTCTCAGTTACACAACGTTTCTTCTCTATTTTTAAAATATTGTTGAGCTTGAACTAGTGGGGACAATTATTTTCTATTCGATAATAGTGTTTATTTTCTTTCCAATAATAAGTGAATTGCATTAGTTTTCAGAACCTTGAACTAGCCATGAAAACTTTTTTCAGGATTGCCTATTTCTCTTCATCTATTTGTTTATTTTCAATGCCTGTCAGATGGGGTTATTATGTTTTTCTTTTTTATTGGTCACTAAACCAGAAATTTTATTGCTTCTGCACTTTATGCCTGAGTTGCTAATATTTCCTTATCATTATTCAAGCAAAACTCTTACATGTTTGTTTGTCTCATTGTAATAATGGTCATTCTCTCTTTCTTTTAGTCACGAGGCCCTTAGAACTTACCAAACCGGCAAAGACAAGCCATTATCTCCTGTATACAAGGTAATCACAGAAGATAACACACACACACACACACACACACATATATAGGGAAGAGTTCAAATGAAAAGTGATCTTCCCGTGCAAAGTGCAAAGTTTTCACTTTTCCATGTTTCGATTGCACTTTTTCTTGTTTGCATTGCACTTTTTGGCCATTTTGATTTTGGCCAAATTCGGCCAAAATGACGGTGTCAGTTTTGTAAATAAACCAATTGTTTTGAGCTACCGCGAAAAAGTGCAACGAAAGCAAGAAAAAGTGCAAGCGAAACATGCAAAAGTGCAAACATTTCATTCTTCAGCGTCTGCTTGTCACAACCCATTATGTTTTGCGTTTGTAGGTTGTGAAGACTGTTTATGCATCTCCCAGTCGTATTAATTTCCATTTGGACTCAAGAAAGGCAAGTTTTGCTAATGAGGAACACATCATGTATTCTACTGTGAATTGTATCTGACAACTTCACATGTACACTTCAGGAAGCAGAAACAACTTCTGCATATCCAGATATATGTTTTGCAGTTGACGATTTTGATTCTACGTTCGATGCAGTGGTAATGCATTAGTTCCCTCATTTTTTAAAATGCTTTGTTCTCATTTTCGAGATTTGGATATCTGGTTGATTGAATAATATAGATAGAGGTGCTTCTGGATAGTTGCATAAATCCTGGTCATATATGGATTCAAGCTTTAGCTTTCTGATCATGTTCTATGAATATGAGGCTGTTTCCCAATTACCAATATTTATCTCTCCCAGGTTTTGACAGATGTGGACCACTGTTATTGTGTAATTCTAAATGCACATGATGGAGCTGCTTTTCCAGCTGAAAAGATACTTGAAGGTCATATTAACATCACTTCTTCCAAAAGCGAGTCGGCTGCTGAAATGACTCAGAGTTCAAAGGTTTGAAAATACCGAGTATGATCATTATCATCATAATTTTCCATCATTTGCAATGGAGCCAAAGATTCATTATTTTTTGGCTTGAGATTATGATGGAATAAAGCAAAATGGCCCACTAAACTGTCTGCGTTTCTTTGTTATGGAGCAGCAGTCAGCCCATGCAATTTTGAACGCGATTTTCACTATGGGTCATCCGGAAACAGTCGCTCTGTGCTTTAGTACAGGGGTAAGACTGCGTACATCCGACCCCCCCTTACCCCACCGTAGGTGGGAGCCTTTGCGGCACTGGGGTAAATGAAAAATGAAAAATGAAATGATCATTATCATCATAACAACCACCTTAATGCCAACCCTAAATATTCTTTCTAGAGAGAAAAGATGAAACTATTCTGAACGACATGGAAGAAAGCTTCTTTTTCAGGGACGATTATGTTTGGAAATTTTATTAGTGAGTTGGGTTTTTGTTTTCTAAATGTCAAAACACATTCAGGGTTTCCGTTTCTTTCATTCACAGCTCCTCTGACTTCTATATCCCACTTTGCCTGCTCTATAACATGAAATCACATTAAAACTCAACACTACATGATAAACTATTGCAATAGCCTGACAGTTTTTAACGTTTTTATATATATTTCAGATCACTTTATTCTCAGGTTTCGTTAGTTATCAGATGGTCCGAGATGCCTATGATGGTAAGCCATTTTTTTCTTTCTATTAGAACACCATGCAGTTTTTCTGGGATTCCGGATCATGTATTGTGCAACTAATTCAAATATTCAGTGCATCTATACATGGAATGTGTTGGATGCGCTTGTTAATTCACATACAACGTGCATATAAATGTGTGGTCATTAGTTTTCTTAAAGTGCTACAATTTGACTGAGGTTGACTCAGGTAACCAGCATGCCCAGACATTTTATTTTACTTGGGCATATTAATGTCATCTAAAGGTAGTATGCAGTTTCTGGAAAGATCTTTAATGTTAGGCTGTTAGCAGGTTGCACAACTTCTGACATATCCCCATTAATTTACAGATTAACACCTAATATGTGTGTTATTGCTTTCCTGATGCAATTTCCTGCTGGCTGAAGTTTCTTAAACTTTGCAGCCCTCCCCCAACCTGAGTTTTGCATCCAGGACTCCATGAGTTGTTATTTTTTTATTCTTGCCTCTATTTTGAGCTATTCTCTGAGTTTGTATATCCAGGTGTGAAGCAAAAACTGATCACTTTTTTCCCCGTGTTGTGTATTGCAAGAAGCTGGAAGATCTGGGTTAGGGAGTCTTCTTTCACTTCATTCGTCAGGGAAAACAGACAGGATTTACATGAAAGGCCCAGGAGGACGTGGGGAGGTTGAAGTAGCTGTTTCTGGTGTTGTAGGTATTTGCTTGGTTTTTTATATATTCTATATCTTCCCGACTGTCTTTCTATTTTTGATCTTCTTGTAGAGAACTAGTTCCAATTTTATTCCCCAAACTATAGTGGTATTTCACTTCCTGTGCCTCTTTTCTTGCATTGAATCTTATTGTGTTAAGGACCTAAGGTGCTATAAACTTTTTATTTAAAGAATTCGTCTGTACCAGTGGGTTCCATAGTAGATTTCAGATTGCTCCAACTATGAATTGTACATCTCTCGACTAGATACCATAACAGCATTACCCAAGTACCCAACAATCATGTGTTATTTCAATGAGACATTGAACTCTTTTTAATGCATTCTATCATTAATGTAGTGGTGTTTGAATATGTCAGATCAAAGCAAAGAGGAACACAGTCAACATTCCCCTAAAAAGGGACTAAGCATCGGCTCAGTTGTTCGAAGGGCAGCAACGGTTGCATCAGTCGCAGCAAAGCATGCTTATGCTGCTGCTTCTGCTACTACGCGGAGTTCAGATGAAGAGATGACCCCACTGAAGTGCTGCTTGATGTCTATATCATTACCCTGGGAGCACATTGCTCATGATCTTCTCCTTAAGGCGTGATCTCTCACCTTAGCTAATATTTAATACCCCAGCCCGCCCACCTACGGACATACTAGGGTGGTTCTAAATATCATCATCATCATTACCCCAGTGCCGCAAAGGCTCCCACCTACGTTGGAGTAAGGGGGTCGGATGTACGCAGTCTTACTCTTGCACTAATGCACAGATAGACTATTTGTGGATGACCCATAGTGAAAAAATCACATTTAAAATTGCATGGGCTGACTGCTGCTTCATAACAAAGAAACGCATACAGTTTAGTGAACCATTTTGCTATATTTCATCATATTTACGAGCCAAAAAATAGTGATTCTTTGGCTCCATTGCAAATGATGGAAAAGGGTGGTTCTAAATATAAGTCACTTTTATTTAATCAATGCATAATTTATTTTCTTTTCCGCCGTTGTCCCTCTTAAAGGCTCAAATGCCTATTCCTCAAAAAAAAACAAGGGCATACGTAGAAAGTGAATATTAATTTAAATGTTTTTCATCATTTCCGTATATGTGAGAGCCAAACCATGCCCTTATAGCAAGGGCTTGAGGGACATGGGGAGTATAAAGAAACTTGGATGCCTTTTCTTACATATGGTCATTGAGATGATTCATGTTGTTTGTGCAGGGAACTCCCCCGGTGAACTTGTAGGATTAAATACGGGTTGATGATGAGCAGTATCAAAGCTTTCTAGACTTCACATGTAGATGAGTATACGACAAGAGTGAGGAGCTGCATTGTGTATATTACACTTTTCATCTTTGAGTAATACTCAATAATGGTTACATAATGTTAACCTCGCATCTGAGGTAGGTAGTCCCTTCAAATGAGGTGGTGGTTTGGCAAGGTCAGTGATTGTAGCAGTGGGGATGTGTTTTCAATGTTGTTGATGGTGGCCAATGGCCCATAATTTATTTGGTTTTTTCAGTTGTGCTTAGATTTTTACCGATTTGTTTTCCAGTTTCACCAATCCACTCGTGGGATTGACCTTTATATCATACCTCATCTCTCATCACATGCAAATTATTGTTTCAATGGAAGTTTAGGATGCCAAGTGATAACTTTCAACATTTATTTTCTTCAAGGAAATTAACTTATTTATTAATGATAGCAATGATTAGTAGAAAAGTAATTCAGATGGCCTAAAGCTATAATGGGATGAGACATAGGATTAAACATTAAAGATTCCAAAGAAACATAACAATACAAGAACCCCAATAGATTTGAACTCCTTATAAATATAGAAGCCCATACCTAAGACTATAAAATGATAAAACTACTCACCAATACGTAGGAGAAAATAAACATATAAATTATTCCATTATCTCAATAAGGAAATAACATAAAATCTGGTTTATCCCACCGCTAGAGAGAAACAATCAAAATCGCCAATTTGACCGGCTATTGAGATAAAATGACGTTGGGTCGGGGAAATTAATGGTGGGTTGGCAAATGAAGTATGAACACGAGTTTTAGAATTCAAACCGACCTTTTTAACGAGATATGATCAAAATAAATACTCAATGGTGGGTCGAGAAAATTAATAGTGGATCAATGAAACTAACAAATGGTGGATTAGATAAAATAATGTTGGGAGAGGGAAATTAACGACGGGTCATTAAAATTAACAGAGAATATGAGAAAAATTACGGTGATTCGAGGAAATTAACATCCTTACTTCACACGTCTTTGGATTGCTCATGTTTAAGAAATATCAAACAAATAATGACAAACCCACAAACAAACATACTTACTAGTTAGAAGAGTCTCAACACATACTTTTATTTAGAGATATTACCCGAAATAAGACTAAAACAATTTAAAAATTCCAAAATAGGACTGCCATGTTTTTATTTCCAAAATATGACTAATTACTGCCATGTTTTGGCAGTACCAGACTTCAAACATGTCATATTTTCTAAACATGGCAGTAATTAGTCATATTTTGGGAATAAAAAACATGATACTCCTATTTTGAAATTTTGAAACGGTTTTAATCCTATTTCGGGAAATTTCCCTTTTATTTACGATACTTTCTAACCTATTAAAACGTTTGTTCTTTGTTTAAACTATAAGTAAACATCATTAACTGAGATGAGTTTTAATCTCATGTCGGAAATTGGAAAGCTTACTTGACATTTCAATCAATGTATTTAAAGGGCACAATGGTAAACCATTACAAATTCAAATAACTACGCCTAGAAATATAGCCCGCCCCGCTCCTGGAGCGGCCACTTGATACAAAGTTTCAAACAGAGGAGGCGTTTGATTAGACAGACGGTGAGGCTGCAAGCTGTGAAGAAGGACCAGGTGAAATGGAGAAGGTGAGCGTAGCAGTGAGAGTGAGACCCGCGAGGGGTGAAGACAGCAATAATGGAACCTTCTGGAAGGTAGAAGACAATAGGATCGCCCTCCACAAGATTCATGGCACCCCCATTTCCGGCCTCTCCTTCGCTTTTGGTACTCTCATCACTCTCTCACTGTACAAGCACTACTAATATTTCCATGAATTTTACGAAGCTATGATCTAACTAAAATTAGGTCACGTTTTCTTAATGGGTTTTTGTGAAGTTGTGTATGAATGCATTCCATTTTTTTTGTAGATCACGTCTTTGATCAGGAGTCCTCAAATTCTAGGATTTATGAGTTGGTCACGAAGGATATTATTCATGCTGCACTTGAAGGCTTCAATGGTATGCACTCATTCGGTTATTTCTTCTTCGTTGGATCTGTAATGCCTCAGCACTTCTATAGTTCTAGATGTGAGCTCAATGATCTTTGTTTAACTTGAGATGATAAAAAAAATAGATCTTCTCACAGTATTTCACTTAAGTAAGCTTGCATTAGTGCCTCGGTAAATGAATGCCCCAGAATTCCGGGTTAGGGAAAAGATTTGATTGGAGACATGAAAATTTAATTTTTATGGCTGGATTTATAGAAGATAATCAAGAGGTTGCGAATTCGCGTTCATTGTTAATATCTTGGTCTACTTAGAGCTTAGAGACGTGAAGAGCTAAAGTAATGTATGGTTGATCTTTCCCATTCAGGAACTGCATTTGCGTACGGGCAGACAAGTAGTGGCAAGACCTTTACCATGAATGGTTCTGAGAATGATGCTGGAATCATTCAACGTGCAGTGAATGATATATTTACCAAAATTCACATGGTATTACTTCTTTCTCCCTGATTATTATCACCCTTTTAATGAACATGATCTATTGGTCTGAGGGTAAACAGCTCAAATTTTATGTTCCCAGACCACTGATAGGGAATTCCTGATTCGAGTCTCATACATGGAAATTTACAACGAAGAAATCAACGATCTTTTTGCTGGTGGAAACCAGAAGCTCCCCATCCATGAAAGTTTGGAGGTAATGAAATGAAAAGAATAGCTTTAAGATAGTTGATATTTGGGTTGCGAGTTTGTGACATAACATTCATTTCTATTTCTATAGCGTGGAGTATTTGTAGCAGGTCTGAGGGAGGAAATTGTGAACTCTGCTGAACAAGTACTTGAACTCATCGAACGTGGAGAAGGTTTGATCTTTAAAATAGACTATATAACAATTTCCCGAACTCCATTCATCCGCCCCACAGTTTTTTAATGTGTCTAAATCCTGATCTCCCTGAAATGGTTTTGCAGACAAGAGGCACTTTGGGGAAACTAACATGAATGTACGAAGTAGCAGGTCACACACCATCTTTCGGATGGTATGTTTTTCAATGTTGCAGGATTGCTGTATTTGGAAGCTGTTACTTTATATTTCGTTTTAGTACTTGAATCTTTCTTTTACCACTAATTAGGTTATTGAAAGCAAGGGGACAAATAATTCAGAAGATGCTGTTCGTGTCTCCATTTTGGTACGTCATTCCTCCTCAGACATTGTCATGATGCAAAAGAAACAAATGCTCCAATCTTCAGAATTCCATTTGGTTTTTGTTCTTTTAAGAACTTTTGGAGAGTAGAGCAGTACACTAGTTCTGTGAAATGTCATTCCAATCTGCACCCTCAATGTTTTTTATCAACAGGGAGTATGATACAGAGATTAAGACTGACCACATTTTCCTATTTTAGTCTGTCTTTTTTTCTCCCTTCTTTCCTTGACAGCAGATTGTGGTTTTATTTTTTGCTTATATATTAACTTTGTGCTTTTGGTTGGAAACAGAACTTAGTAGACTTGGCAGGCTCTGAAAGGATTGCCAAAACTGGAGCTGGGGGAGTTCGCCTCAAAGAAGGAAAACACATTAATAAAAGCTTAATGGTTCTTGGCAATGTCATCAACAAATTAAGCGAAGGTTCTAGGCAAAGGTACTTGTTCCTTTAGATGCAGTGGCTTCTCCTGGGTCTATAGATATAACTGTCCAAAGCTAACAATTTATATATTATGCAGGGGGCATATTCCTTACCGTGATAGCAAACTCACACGTATACTTCAGCCCGCACTTGGTGGTAATGCCAAAACTTCCATAATATGCACCGTAGCACCAGAAGAGGTACCCTTTTCTTGGTATGCCAGATCTGCTTTTTATATCATTATTATTGATAACAAATATTAAAATGTTATATGCCACTAATATAATTAGGTTCACGTTGAAGAAACGAAGGGCACCCTACAATTTGCTAGTAGAGCTAAACGTATCACCAATTGCGTTCAAGTGAATGAGGTGAGCAGTGTTCCTTTATTGAGATGGTTTAATATCTCAGAGTAGTTTTTTTCTTGTTAATTGGATATATAGCTGATTGTAGTTCATTTTTTTATGATAGATATTGACAGATGCTGCATTATTGAAGAGACAAAAGCTTGAAATAGAGGAATTACGCCAGAAACTTGAGGTGTGAAAGTAATGTCAATCTGAAAATTATATCACACGTCTTACAGCTCGACTAATAAATTGAGGTAACTACTTTATAGGGATCCCATTCTGAAGTGCTTGAACAACAGATTTTGAAATTGAGAAATGATTTGCTGAAGGTAAACATCTTTGTTTGTATGTCTAAATAAAACTATAAAAGCATATGGGTTTTTCTTTGGTACTGAGATGATTGGTCATTTTCCTATTCATCAGTCTGAACAGGAGCATGAGAGGCTTGCTATGGAGTTGGAGGAGGAAAGGAGATTGAAGAAGGAGCGTATTATGGATGAACAGAGGAAACTGGATCAGCTTTGCAACCATTTAACTGTGTCAGATACTAATGGTGTTGTCGCCACTCAGGTAGGTTATGCTAATTGGTAGTTATTGGGATATCTAATCTTTTCTGTGCTCTCTTTACCTTTGCTCAAGTAGATTATATGTTTGTATATGATGAACAAAAGGTTAATTTTGTCCTGGTTGCAGAATATCTCCAGACAAAGCGTTAAGGAGGATAACAAAGGCACAAGCCAGGATGATGCTTTTAGTACGCCATGTTTTAAAAAAGTTCCTGATGCTTTTGTTGCTCGGCGATCAAACTACTCTCGGCAGCCCGAATGCAGTCCTCTTCCGGATGCACTTGATGCATTTGCCAATGAGGATACATGGGCGAAAATGAATAAGGGCTATGTGGCTGATCTTGATGCCACCCCTCTAAGGACCCCTGCTCTAAAAACTACGTCTTTGGCTAAGGGTGCTGACAATGTTAGTCTCGTATTCATATGACTGATAATATTGAGGCTTTGTTTGTTTCCAGGAATATAACTTGTCGAAAATATTTTCATGGAATCTAAGTTTATCTAACAAGTTTGAGTGTCAAGTATTTGACCCACAAAGCTAGAGTCATAAATGACTAAGATAAGGAATAGTCTTCGTTTGTTTCCAGGAAAATAAGCTGTGGTAAATGTATTCATGCCTTCATGGAAATAAGTTGTTCCATGATAGTTTTCAAGAAAACATGAAACATGAGACATTTTCAAGAAAATGGCTTTCACTTCATTTTTGGGGAAGTCTTCCAAGATTCAAAGAAAAATACTGGAAAATCTTGCCAGGATATTTTTTCCTTGCCAAATCCTGGATAATCTGGAACTTTGTCTATGAATAAATATTATCATAAACAAATAGAGCTGTTACTTTTTTATGGTTACGGATGTTGTCTTAACAAACTTTTCCACCAGGGTTCACCGATCCAGGATTACAAGCAAGAGGTGGAGAATCTTCAGAGAGAACTGAAGCAAGTGTTAAAAGAAAGAGATGAATTCAAGGTTATAATTAGGGTGTAGATAGTAGATACATAATTTTGCATTGTTGTGATCAGTTATGTTTTCAAGGCTCTACCTGTGTGGCTTATGTTATGGTCCTATAATTTCAGACGAATCATATCAAACAAGAATCAGTTAATGAGGATTTAATGAGAGAGATTTCTCTACTTCGGCAAGAGGCATCCCTTGTTCAGGAAATCCCCAAAAGACACTCTGAAGCTGTCAGTATATGCAAAGATATTTACAAGGATGTCATATCAATAATACAGGTAATGAGTTCTAAATATGGCTCCTTTTGGATGTTATTGCTCATGTATAAAGTAATATATTGACACCATATCTGCAAACACTGATGGTATGTGAAACAGAACTGTGTAACCAATGAGAAGTCACCAACCGCCGAGTTACTTTCTACCACAAGTGATATTGGAATCTCCCTTTTTTCAACTCTTGAATCTAGCTTCAAGATGAGTAGTGGTGGAGATATATCCTCCTTAGATGGGAATGATTTTTCATTTGAAGAGCAGCGGAATATGCTTTATATGAGAGCGAATAGTACTTTATCTTCAATCAGAAGCCAACATCCAGAGAATGAATCAAACAGCAGCAAACATAAGGTAGCTGCCTGGTCACTACAGATAACCAGATGTCACACCTTCGTTTTTATACTCTTCTCCATTCTCACCATGGGATACTACTATCTTCTTTGAGGCTGTAAGGTACTAGTTAGTGTGCACACATGTTATTACCCATGATACCGCCAACCAACGAATGCATTACATAATCCTATAAGTTAACACTCTTAGGGGGGTTTGGGTCACAGAATGTGAGATTAACTTAGGTAATAATAAGTTTGCTGTATGAAAGGGAACGGATCCAGGAATATGCTGTACTACATTACCTTGGAATGTCACAGCGTTCAAACCAAACACACCGATACATCACTGAAAGCACCCATAAAAAAAGACACTTGCCATACTAGCAGTGTCACTAGCTGCACACATCACCCATTCCCTTGTTATCATGTTTTGTTTTTAAGCACATGTTGCTTACTTTAATCCAGGGGTCTACTCTGGAGCAAGATCTTGATAGTTGGAAGAAGAAGCTTGAGGAAGAAGTTCTAACAATGAATGAAAGATGCTGCAGCTTGGAGAAAGAATTGGAGGCTAGTAATCAACTTGTTATGGCTTCCAGGGAAAGATATAACAGTCTAGACAAACAGTTTTCTGTTTTGAAAGAAGAGAGAGATACTTTGATTGAAAGAGTTACAGACTCTACTCAAAAGGTTGGTCACCTTATGGAACAAAAAGAAAAGGTTCTGAAGAATTTGAGTGTTGAAGAGCGGAGGAGGAAAGAACTTGAAGAAGACATTACAGACTTCAGCCATGCTTTTACGCGCAGACAGAAAACGCTTATGACCCTTCAGAGTGACTTCAGATCTATAATAGATAACTTTAAGGCTCAGAATCCAGTTCCTGGATCAGTATCTCTTCTTGGATTATAAAAATGCCTAGTTTTGGTTGTTTATCTCGTATAGCAATTGTCATTGAGCTCTCGGCAAAATGTGAGAATTCTGCATAGAACCCCAGAAACTTCTCATCAAGGGCGGTTCATATACTACTAACTTCCATTGCAACTTCATGTAAAGTACTATTTAAGATTTTTTGTACTCTTGTTATTTAAGTGGTGTTTGTTTCATATACCCCTCAACCCCTTTTGTTGTTTTGAGCACCATAAATTAGAAGAGTTAGTTTTTGATGTGTAGCTAATAGCTTCATCAAAGTTGGTTTCTTTACTGTGTTGTTATCTTAGAGACTTAAACTACAATTGTACTTTGCTGTGGATTCATAAAGCTTTTGTTATTCACTTATCTAAAAAATTAAAATGTTTTTTACTTAGGTCTTTGTTCCATCAATACGTTAATGTATGTATATGTTAAATTGACAAGGTTTTGTTACTGCAATGCAAAAACAAGAAAACATAAATATCAAATCTTTTGTTCACTAGATATTAGGGATGGACTGGGTCGGTTCGGCCCGGCTTGTTACTGTGCGGGTCTGGCTTGGCCCGGCCGACTGGGACCGGGACTAGGGGCCCGAACCGGGGGTATTAGGGGCGGGCTACGAGATGCATATATGGTGGACCGGACCGGCCGGGCTACGCCAGGCCTGCACAGTAACAGGCCGGGCCGAACCGGCCCAGTCCATCCCTAATATCAAGTGAACAAAAGATTTGATATTTATGTTTTCTTGTTTTTGCATTGCAGTAACAAAGCCTTGTCAATTATCATTATCATTGACATTGGCATCGTCATCATCGTCGTCATCATCATTATCATTGTCATTGTTATTATCATTATTATTATTGTTATTGAAATTGCATTTTGTTGTTGTTGTTATTATTATTATTATTATTAAGGAGAGTCTCATATGTACTTTGCAACATTCAAAACCGTTGTTGACTTTTGGATAAGCATTAATTATAGTCTTATCTTTATGTATTCCAACAAAATCTCTTATTTTATTCCAAGTCTACCGTGTATTTTACAATTTACGATTAATATTTAATAATAGTTGTGTTAGTTAGTTTTGTTAACCAATAAGAAATAGACATGTAAGCAATTTATAACTCAATTTTACTATATGAAACAATAGATCTGATGTGCTAGATCCTTTATACCTTTCACATTTCCATGTTGGAAAAATATTTACGAATTTGCCACCAAATTTGTTTGATGTTGACATGTTTTTTCCAAAGTTTAAACATTGCAATAGATAAGTCTCATAGTGCACCAAATTGTGTAAAAATTGCATGGTTCTCATTTAGGCATGAACTCGGTTCGGGCCGAGCCTCGGGCCGGTTCCGACCGGGCTTTTTTTTTGGAGAAGTGAGGCCCGAAAACCGGCCTGGGTAGCTCGGGGTCCGGGTCAAGCCGGTTTACCCGGTAATTACCGGGCCAGACCAGGTACCTTTTTTTTATTTTCTAATTACTTCCTACACCCCCAATACCCCAAACCCCTCCAAAACACCCGGTCCAACCTATTTACCTTTTAAAAATGTGAAAAACAAAAAAAAATGGTCCGAGCCGGGCTCAAACCGGCCGGGCCGGTTCGTGATTTGGGAGGCCCAGAAACCACCCCTCTACAATGCCGGGCCAAGTGGCCCGAACCGGGCACAGAACTGGGTACCGGGCCAATCTGGGCCGTAATAGCACCGGTTTGTGCCGTAACAGTACCAGTTCAGGCCGGTTAACCCGGTCTGAGTCCATCCCTACTCATGTTCTCAATACAAGGACCAAAACCGCCTAGTTCTTTCCCCAAATAGATCAACCGGGACCGCGTACCCCTCTTGGACAGAGGGACAGGGAGGAGATAATCCCAAACTCAACCGAAAATTCCAGAGCAGGTGCAGTCCCAAACAGTGACTGGGTCCACCCCTACGTACACCCAAAGTCTCCTACTTGCCTGAAGTAAAGTTCATACGTAATATTTTTCTTTTTGGGCCTTATCAGTTCTCAATATAAGTTTTTTGCATGTTAAAAGAGAATTACACGATTTTTATCATCTTTCTAAGTTCAATTCAAAATCTGAACCAAATACAAATCTTTTAGGGTGAACCCTTTCATCCTGCTATTAAAAAGCATTTCAAACTAAACAAGAACTTTACTTCAAGATAGAGGGAGTGCTATTTCCTTGTACAATAGGTTAAACTCGCATTCAATATTTCATACCAAGCCCATTGTTTCCCAGAGAGAATAACGTGACAAAAAACATTATCGATATCATTTTTGTAACATAACAGATGTCACCAATACAAAATCTTAATGCAACTTTTTGGATGCCATGTATATACATATCGTGTAGCTATTTCTGTCCAAGTGTGTGAGTCAGGGTACGGGTGTAACTGTGTAAGCGTAAACAGAGGAACCAAACCAATCTGAACCTCACATAGAAAGAGAGCTTAACATTTTCACATTATTTGGGGTGGAAAAATGAGATGACTCAGGTTTTGTTAAAATAATTCTAGTGCAAGGCCTAATACGAAAAACTCTCACTGAACATAGTAAAAGGTTATACAAAAGACAATAGTGTAGTGAAACAGAACTTGAAGGCCATCCATCATGAAGAGAGGGGCCTGTCTAAATATGTATAGTAAGACCATAATATCAGCACGCAAGTTTACTGGGAGGACATGAAGAAGAGAAAAAGGAGCAAAAGAAAAAAGGGGGCACTTAGTGAATTTCACCATCCTCACCAAGTTCACCATCTTCCAGCTCTTCATGTCCACCGCTATTACGACGAGATCCATCACTACGCTCTTTTCGGTGTCTCTTGCGTCGACTCTCACTGTCTGATTCCGGTGAATGCTGTCAACGAAGCATATATATTAGATATTTCAAGAATTTTAGTGTCAAAATTCGTGAATGTGTTTGTGTGAGCAGTTCCACTTCAAGTCTAAGCTCATTAGGATTACACAACATTGTGGGGTCATACATGCAAACAACCCTGATTGACCCTTGCCTGTATTTTTTAACCAACCGAGGGGAAGGGGTGTGGGGGCAGATGAGAAGAATTATCATAAAAAGAGTAAAATAAAAACAGCCTCAGAATTTGATACTACGCATAATTTTCTGTTATTATAAATATAGTAGTCTACATGTATAACAACAGTAATGTAGAACATTTAAGAATAAAAAATCTCTCTCTGAGATATCCTGAGTTTGAAGGAGTTGCATGGCTCCTCCACTTTCCTCCCCTGCCCTCCCAACTCCCCAGAATGAAATACGGCTTTCTGTTTTGCTCTCATTAACTCCAAAGTCTTACAACAACACAAAGGCTTCGGATATGTTTGTGAAGGGAGTAAAATACTTTTAAGCGAAGATTGCATCTACTTGATAGTCTTCCAAAGTAACACATGAAAAAGGCATTAATATAAAATCAATATCCTAATTCATAATCATTTATTTATAACTATAAACATATATTATTCCCTCAATTAAAAGAGTAATAATAAGGCCTGCTCTCCAGATTCACCTTCCTAAACAAACCATTATACTCCCTTTGTCCCAAATTTATTTTCATTCTTTCTTTTTTCGTGCGTCCCAAAATAAACTTCAATTTCCTTTTATGGCAAACAATTTGTGGTTCATATGATTTCTCTCTCTAGAACTCTCAACCACACAATTTCCTTTTTCTTAATCTACGTGCCAAGTCAAAAGAAAGGTATTATTGGGACAGTAGTGGCCAGAAACCTGATCTGCTTCAACTGGTGGTGTATGTTGGAATGTTGGATGTTATAGGTTTTACCTAAAGGTGACCCATATACAGGTCAAAAGGAAGATATAATTGGGACAGAGGGAGTACTATTATGAGTCAATTTGGTTAAGCAGGTCTCTTCGCTACTCGCTAGCCTTACGCAGTGGTCAGAACCTGATCTGCTTCAATTGGTGGTGTATGTTGGAATGTGGGACGTTATAGGTTGTACCTAATGGTGACCCATGTACAACAACAGATGCTCTAGCATTTTGACTTTCTCCAGTCAATATGATGCTTGTGTTGATGTATAGACGTCAAAGTTAAAGAACATTAGTTAATTAAGTACTCACCCTCCTCGACTTTTTCCGGTCACCACCATGTCGGCGAGACCTCTTAGTTTCCTCCCTCTCATCCTTGTCAGAAGTCACATCATCTTGAGAGCTATGATGCCTTTTCCGATGTTTCCTTTCTTTGTCCTTATCCCTCTTTTTATCTTCTTTGTGGTCATATTCAATAAAATCAGCACTCTCGCCGTCGGCATCATCCTTTCTCCAACGCTCTCTTCCCTTCTCCTTTTCTCTTTCACGGTCTTCTTTCTCTCTGTCTTTCTCTTTCCTCTCTTTATCTTTTTTCTTTTCTTTTTCCTCCTTCTCCTTGTCTTTTTTAGCCTGCAAGTATAGTATACATATCAAAAGAAGGGAGTATATTGAAAACTGTTCAAATCACGAAAAAAAGGCATGTGATGTAAAACCACTTTGCTCGTTTTACACATGAATGATGTAATTTTGTTGCCTAATTCTATAAAACAAATTGACACTAAGATTAAAACCATGTGTAATTAAAGTATGGTCGGATTAAAGTATGATGATGATTAGTTAATGATTACATATCTGGGCATAAAAAACTGACATGTAATAAATTAATAATGGATGCAAGCTTTCTTTCCAGATTCTTTTTTCCTAGACCTCAGTATCTAGTTTCCAGATCCACATTAGCCAACATTCTAAAGCATTCTGGGACACAGCGGATGCCATTTTTCAAAAAAGCGATTTGTATTTTTTCATTTTTAGTACAAATATTGGTGTCTTTAAGTATTACTGTTCTACCATAATTACACACAGGACAGTAAAAAGGGTTAAAAAGGTCCCTCCTATTATGTCCCATTGGTAATGGTAATGATCCCACTTATCAAAAGTTGAAAATCACACCTTTGCAAAGATTTTGGTAGTTTTAGTACTTTAGCATGCAGGATCCCAAGGCATTAAGGACTCGAGCAAAAGTAGAAGTGACCCAAAGGTATTTAAATGTCAAACCAAATTTCTCACTGAAGGACTGAATTCATTATAACCTTAGAATTTTGCAGGTATTTTTATCAACTTTTCTAAAACCAGAACAAACGAACATGAAGCAAAAAATATGAATCAACATATATAATATGGGTTTTAAAAATACCAGGAGGCAAATAAGTAGTATCACAATTATCACCTGCTCTAAAAAACCCACCTAGGCCTCCCTAGCCGACCTGTGAATTTTCTTAATTTGGTTTGTATAGACCATGAGTGATCCCTACTTAAGCCCGTCAAGGTAAGAGGCCCAGTCTACCGCCTAGTGTCTCCCTGGACCCTGGCGCTATTTTGAACACTGGTATTTTATCTAGCAGGTAACAGCTATGGAGTATAATATTTGAAATTGGCCAGTTACCTTCTCCTCCTCTCGTCTGCGCTCCTTTTCTTTTGCCTTCTCCTGCATATGGGCAACATGCTCCTCAAATATTTCCCTCAAGGTTGTTTCCTCACCAATAGCTCTAAATAAAGTGAGACACAGGAAACAAGACAAAAAATAATGAGCATGTTAAAACAACAAAATGTGTTAGCAAGCAGATATATAAGGAGCGAATATTCAAATACTTGTATTCTGAGCTATCCTCCACAAGCTCTTTGCACTCATCCCAACTCGAAGAAACAGTTATCTCCTAAAAGGAGTGAATGAAAATAGTCAGCTGCGAATAATTAGTTCGAAAAGTAAATGATTTAAAGTAGATGTTGCACACATCAAAGGTGCTCAGCATCTCCATAAAATCTTTTGCGAGACGGTGTCGCTTTTTAGCTTCTTTCTCATCCTTTTCCTTGGCTCTCTCCATGAGGTCATCAAATATGAGCTGCAAACAACAATCGTGACATAAGAATCAACATTAACTAAACATCCAGCAGTCATCTCACACCCTCAATCTCTCAGAAATCTGCCAGTTACTGTTGAGAGTTCTAGTTCCAATTATTCAAGAAGAAATACTGGGATGTTTTAAACTAAATCGTATCTGTATATTTGTGCATAACAGCAATTAGTCTACCAAACCAAAGACCTATAGCTTGAAAAACAATTTGAAAATGATTATTACCATTTGCAATGAAAAGGATGTGGTATTTAAAATTTCAAAAAAAACATTACTATGGACAAGATTAAAGGAACAAATTTTCCTCAGTTCTATAGATTAAAAAAGAGCAGCCCAGTGCACATTGGTGTCCTGCAAGGCAAGGGTCCGGGGAAGGGTCCCACCATAAGGGTGTGTAAGGTGCAAGCCTCCCCTTGTCATTTTCGAAAGAGGCTGCTCCCAAAATTTGAATGTGTAACCTCTTGGTCACACAGCAACAACGTAACCAGTGCGCCAAGGCTCCCTTTTCCAATGTTCTCTATATTACGAGCGCAAAATATTCTTGTCCATCCCATCCCATTCAGGCAGCTTGCATTAATCATATGTATCGCATCATTGCCATACCCAAAGTCAACTATCAAAAAATTATTTGTCTAATTCAATCTATTGCTCTTCACATAAAAAAAATCTTTACATATATGCATTACAAAAGCATAATGTTGATCAACAAACATGTGACGGCATGAGGAATTTATTTCACAATTACCAGCACAAAATATTCTTGTCCATCCCGTCCCATTCAGGCAGCTTGCATTAATCATATTTGTCGCACCATTGCTAACCCAAAGTCAATTATAAAATTAATTTTTCCAATTCAATCTATTGAGCTTCCACATAAAAAACTCTTTACATATATGCACTACTAAAACATAATAATGATATATACATAGATATTGGAAATATGCGACGTCATGGGGAATTTGAAAAGTTTGTCATAACTCAAACAAAGCAGGATAATAAGTGTCCAAGGAGAAAAGGAAGTAAAAAATAAACAACATTATATATGCTACAGAGAGTTTGAACCTGCAAATTAACATCAGAAATGGGTGGGGTACCAACGTCTTCCAGTACAGAATCTTTAAAGTCTTCAAATGACCACGACGATGAGAATGTTATCTGAATGAGTACGCATGGCCATCAAGGGTTATGCAAATAGTAAAACCAAGATAATGGAATAACAAGGGCGCAAGGCAAAGGTACTGAAAGTCGTACCTTTTCAGACTTCAAGACATTCTTAACACGTGCTTTGTCTTCATAATACTATTAAAAGTAAATATATTCAAAGGAAAATGAGTTAGTAAACACCTATAATCTATAGACACTAGAAGTTTTGCATTTCGGCAGAAGTACAGCACCATACTCAATACCTAAAACAAATTGGCTTATGACAACGGACTAATGCAATATTTAAGAGTAAAGATACAAATTTGTTGCGGAGCACAATATTTCATGACTAAACATTCTGATGTCAAACACATGGAAACACGCTAACTCGTCAGCTTATCATACACCTAAAACGATTAGCAACTTCGCCCGCCCAGAAATCATAAAGCGGTAACAAAAATAGTAGCATGAATAACAACATGACCAGTTATTCAGGAACAAAATCAGGAAAAATGTTTCAAATTGAAAGATCATTACCCTATTTTCCAACTCTTCAACAGTATCTTCGAACAAGTCCCTAGGTGTAGAACCCGAGGTGTTTGATGCAACTGCCTGATAAGCCACACACTCTTTCACCTAACATCACAGCAGCAGAGAACAGAAACAGACAAGATTTATCTATCATTAGTAAGTTTCATTGACATACACCAATATGGTTAACCACCTCATCATACCCAGAGAGAGAGAAATGTGCAATACCATCGGACAATAGTCATGCCATTGTGTTTTAGCAGTGAGTGTGCCAGCAGCTATATGATCTTCCATCATATTACGGAACGCGTCACGGTTTTTGCGCTCAGCACGCCTCAAGTGTTCCTAAAATTAGTCAAAAACTTCAACGATAATTCATATGATAATACAGCACTTACAGACTTACAGCTCAATGAAATTATTCTGAAGCACCTTTTGTGTTTTCCGCTGCTCTTCCTCGTCCCGCTCCAAGTCACGAATATATTCCTGTCATATTGGCGTATATTAGCATTGGAATTCTAGAGTAGACTATGTTATATGAATATTGTACCTGGAAAACCTCCAAGCGGTCATATTTTTCTAGGCGTGAGCATCTTTCATCATCTTCCAAGAGATCTTGAACTTTCCGCCACTGTGTGTCAACCTGAGGCCCAAAAAAGAAGCATTTGAATAAATAGAGAGAAAAATTAAATGTGACACTGATAATAATGTTTTAAATTTGGAATTGTTGTCAAATGGTCTAACCCTCCAACCACCACAAAATCCCACCCCAAAAAACGAATCAAGAGAGATACCCTGATAAACCCGCATGTTTCTAGGAATTGTCTGTACTCCATTCTATTCCTTCGGTAATCCTCTTGGGCTTTTGCCTTTTCCTGAAATAAAAAAGTGTGTGAACACTACAATCTATCTCAAGTAATAGTCAGTAATTGAAATCTAAAAACCGATGTTTCAGTACCCAATATACAAATAGAATCTTTTAATATGTAGATTACGTGAAAACCAGAAGCGCTAAGCAGGCATAAACATCAAAGTCAATGCATCTTCTGTTTACCTTTTTCTGAAGATCCAATGTGTATATTTTGAATAGCTCTTCACGGTCTGCCTCTCTTTCAACAGACTTGAACCGCTCATCATCCTCAAACATTGTTACAGCTTTGCTGGGCAAAAAAATGGATTCTTAAAACTGCTGTTTTTAAGGCAGACGTATCTGAAATTCTAAACTGCTAGATATATCTGAAGTTTTTAAGGGTCACAATAGAAAACCACAGGTATCTGATAAGGATACCTCCATCTTGTAGATGATGTGAGATCCTTGGACTCCTGGTGAAGAAATGAAATATCAAAAATCAGAAGTGAAAACAGAAGTCAGGATATGGTCTGCTATCAGAAATATTGATTCAAATTATAATAACAATAACTCATCAGGTGAACCACAATCAGTAAACAGTACATGATGTTAGCAATATAGTGATTGTGCTGCCGGTTTGATATTAACAGTAAATATAGATTGTAACTAATGATAGTATGTTTGCTTAGTAAAATTATACACAAATCCTATTGTATTCAACATTCTGTTACTGAGTTAGTTAGCATGATGATTAACTTTTCAACTTGTTCCGAATCTTCCGATGAGATATTTTCTATTACTCTCTTTGTCCCATATCTTTGTCCTATCTTACTTTTTTCATCCGTCCCACTAAGTTTGACTCGTGCCATATTTGGTAATATTTGTGTGGTTGTAATCAATTCTTACTTTATTCACATTTTACCAATTCAATACCATCCACATAACTACACTTTTCTTAATAACCACACCACTCTCTTGTACAAATCTTAGAGAGATGGAGGTAGTAATTTTCCTTGGCTTTACTTTTATTAATAGTATCCTATGTGGCAAAATGAAAATTAGGAAAAATGTTAAAATTGTATTTAGATGACAATTTGTTTTGCACTCGAAATTGTCAAGCACTTGATATATATTTTTTGAAGAAAGAAAAAATCTTCTGACCGGGTCAAGACTAATCCCGGCCAAACCTGTAGACCCCTAAACAACACCTCATCCAGTTCTGGTCTATGTGGATATTACATATCAACTTCACAAGAACTCTTCCTGACCCCTTTATGTCAAGGCAATGGACTCAATGCTACCCTGCGCCTATGAGCTAATTAACTCTTGTATAAGAGCAATATTCCCTCTGAAAATATCAAAACTAAATCAAGAACTTAGCTTTTTAGATCTATGGAAACCCTTTGGTACAAACGGTAATTTTCCATATCAAACTACACTGTTCACCTCATCCAAATCTTAAAAGATCACAGAATACAGATACAAGACCATTGATTATTAATTCTACACAGAAATTCTTGGGATGAAAGAAAGTTCTGCTATGAGAATGAAATAAAAATCCAGGGATGTCACGTTATTGCTGAGGCTTTCAAGAACACAGTGCTTTTACTCCAAAAGTATGTATGGAAAGATTAGAAAATTTTTGTAGCTTGAAAGCTTATAATTATAAAAAAAAAAAAAACTTACGAGCTGTAGTCTGTCACACTAGAAATATTCTATCAGACAACTTAAAAATTCAACTACATTAGTTAATATAATTGAATATACTCAACTAGATTGAATCAGAAGCTACTCTATAAGACTTCAATTTGAAACTTTGAATAGACAAAAGGTACACAGAAATGCCTTACCAAACAGCAAAAGAATTGTCAGAACAAATAAAGAAAAATACATGATCACCACAGAACTTACTTCCAACATCTTTGTAAATTCTTCCTTGGCTTTCCTTTGTCTCAGCCGCTTCTCCTCAGCTTCTAGCTTCTTCCTTTGCATCAGGTACTATTTGTGAACCGCAAAATAAGTCAACAAACACAGGCAAATAGATACATGAATGCACAATTCATAATACGTTGTTCCCAACAAAATACATCAATAGGATGTTAAACTACTCAATAAATCAAGCAACAAAAGTCAATCACTATCGGAAAGTAACTTTAAGAGAATGCCAAATACCTCATTGAATGCCTGCTTCCTCTCACCATGAGTTTTCAGTGCTCCATACCGTTTATCATTGGCTATTGCACGTACTGTCTGAAATGGTGGGAAAAGAGATGAAGTGCATTCTGAGTTAGTATGCAAGTGTTTCAACTTGTCAGGAACTTACGTAACAAATACAGCACATATGTGTAAACTATAACCTGATCCCAGGTCCAGTCAGATCCCACATTAGCAGATTCTAATAGAGCCTTAAAAGCAATTTTGGCCTCCTAAAATCAAAGAAAGCAATCAGCTTATCAAAAACTCATGCAATAAATTGCAGAATATTCTGAATACATACCTGCTTGGTGGCATACACCAAAGGTTCCTCATCAGATGCTTTCTCCTCCAAATTTGTAGCATCAGCACTTTTACTTACCTGCTGCAAGACACATTTTGAGTTACAATATTGAACTTTGAAATGTCTAGTCAACAAAACAAAAACGTTGGAGTAAAAAATTGGTGTTATTGTGTTAGAAGTATCTTTCACGTCCATAAAAGCAAGTCACTCAATATGGAAACAGAGGGCAAATCTAATGAAATGGTTGAAGCAACAACTTGATCATTAGAAGAATATGTGATTTGAAAGAGGTAAGAAGAATATAATAAGTAGTGCTTAAAATCTTTTCCTAAAAATCCCCCTGGGCAGCATTAGCCCCTGCGTGGCCGCAAACATCAATCAAGATATCAGTTCTATAAGGCTGAAAGGCGCCAAGGATAAAAATACCGGCACTAGTGTCATGGTGTATCCGTACCTAGATTTTACGTAAACATCAATGAAAGTATCGATCTTGGTAATAACTGAAAAACAAGGCAAATATTCTAATCCGGTTTTGGGAAATTTTACATGAGATTTTGTAGAGTATTTTAAGAAACGGTGTTACGCATATTTAACTGAAATCGACACTAAAGTTGAGTCTATGCAGTTTGTACAATACAAAAAAAGTAGTTCAAAATTACAAACCATCAAATCTAATACCAAAATGATTGTCAATATGGTTCTAGATTGCCATCTTTGCAAATGCAATACTAATAATAACTCAGCAAACTAGAATTATCACCGGTGGGCGTAGCTCAACTGGTAGCGAGGGAGTGCCAAAAGGGTCAAGTCCTGGGTTCGAATACCGGCAACTGCGATGAAAGCTTACTACGCTAAAATGCATAGGGTCTCTGCAAGTATCGGGGACAGAGTCTCACTCTATGTCTGTCAGGTTGTGACTATAGTCCAATTTACATCCTCTCAACTTACCGTCCGGTCGGTGTTGGGGGCCCTCAGGGATGGGGTGTCATCCTTTTTTTTTGCAAACTAGAATTATCTTAAATATAAGCCTTTACATGGTAGTGGTATAAGTTTAACTCCTTCCGATCAGTCTGATTAGAATTTGAACTCATATGAATCTTGACCTACACCACTTTCTAATAACTTTTTTGATAATTTTCCAAACTATTGTTAGACAAATTATTTACGCTGAGTATTACTTTACTATTGTTAATGGGTTTTGCCCGTATGGTTTCATGCTTCCCCATTTTTTTCTGTTGCTTGTCTTCAGTCTTATGAAGGAATTGTATTTTTCATTCATAGCTTCATTTTCAACACAATTTCTGAACAACAGGTTTGTATGTTTTAACGTTTAATAATATTTGTCAATTAGTTTCATTTATATAGTACTGAATACTGATAAATGTGAGCAATAAATGTAAAGAACAAATGAAATTAATAAATCTGTTCTAGTAATACTAAGGTGTATCTCTTTGGTAAATCACCAACTTTTTATTTTATAATTCTTCAATATAATTTATCGATTTGTTTCTATTCGGCATCTTAAAAATATATTGATTTAACTTGTGGAATAATTATTTTCTACTTAAAAAGTAATCCTACTTTACAAAATTAAATTAAAATTGCCACATATATGATATATCAAATTTAACTTTCATTTTTTCTTATAAACTGTGCTTGAAAACTAATTCCTTTTTCGTATACATAAAACTTGAAAACTAATTCATAATATGTTCATTATTAATTACAAAGTAAAGTACTCCCTCCGTCCCATATTTAACTCCGGTTTTGACCGGGCACGGGTTTTAAGATAGTGGGATTTGTGTGGTGGAGAGTTATGCAGAGGAGAGAGAAATGTGTAAGAATGGTTGTGAACCACATATTCTTTACCAAAAAGGGAAAAAGAAGATAAATTTGGGACGGACCGAAAAGGAAAGAATGAAGATAATTCCGGGACGGAGGGAGTAGTAAACAGTACCTTTTAAAATACTAGAAGTCTTGAAGCAAAGTCCAATTAGTAAATCACTAATTCCTTTATGCATTGAATTTGAGAGTATATACAAGGGTGAAAAAGAACAATGTGAGTATGTTACTATGTTACTAAAAAAATCTCACTCGTTGAATAAGTCTGAATTACTATGTATAAAATATGAACTCAGACACGTGAACCGGTGGACATCAGAGCAAGCACATTTTACGCGCAAGTTCCAACAAAGATAGAAAGTTCTTGTCTATAGAAGTCGGCATCGATAAAGCCTTGATATTTTTGTAATCTCACCGAAAATATATAAATTCATTACACGTGTCTGTATTGAACTATTGATATACAGATAAATTCATTACACGTGCCTGTATTGATATACAGTTTTCCGTTTCAGAAATTCTGATGAACGGCGAAACTTTTATCCTTGAAAGGCACCTACTGAGCGATAAATACCTAATCAGCTAATAAATAAATAAAGTTAATGTCTTTTAAGATGTGAGAGTCTCGATTGCGGTGATTTGGCCATGAGTGTAGAAGACCTAGCGATGCACCTATTAGACGAATTGAGGAGAAGAGGCATGGAGGGGACAGAGAGAGAGAGAGAGGTTGACCCAAATAGACGTGAATTAGAGTGGTCAGAAATAAGAGTATTTGTGTCATCGTGTATTTGTGTGGAGGATTGATCTGTTTTTTTTGTCTCGCTTTTTCTATTTATTATTTTTAACTACGATTTCATGTGTCGATTCATGTGTCGATTCATTTTTTGCAAAAAAATGACAAGGCTAGATGCTCGAGCCCATCTGTTTGTTCATTCTATAGAAAATGAAAGATTGTTGAAACAATAGAACGTAAGTACAAAAGGCAGCCACCTTTATGGCAAACAAGCAGAAGCTCAACTCTATTTATACACAAATAAAAGAGGTGAAATCTCGTACTTTTACGGTGTGAGTGCTGAAAAATTCTAGAGTGAACTTAAATGCATGGTTGTCAATGGCAAGATACGGCATGCGCCATATGCGCCATCGCCATGAGAAAATGGTCATCGCCATAGCGCAATATGCGTCATTCGTATATGCGCCATCGCCATGCGCCATGAAAAATGCTTTTGTCCCATGGCGATCGCCATGTGCCATGCGCCATGTCAAGCTTGCTTAAATGAAACCAAAGAAACACTACAATGGAATTGGAACAGGGAATTAATTAACCATGTCAACTGAGCCATGATGTCAATCATGTACATTTCATACTTGAATTATACATATAGCTTTATCTAAAACGCCAACTAATCTAAGCGCTTGATTGCTAATTATTATTGTATTCTATGATTCATATATTTTAATATATATATATATATATAAACAACAAATTTTAATACGTAGTGTGTGTGTGTGTGTGTATATATATATATATATATATATATATATATATATATATATATATATATATATTTATATTTAACCTAAATATGTTTTTCTATTTGAATAGTTTTCGAATACAACTACAACTACATTTGGTTTGAAAAGTATTCAAATTATATTATATATAATTATATACTCCGTATAATACTTCATATAAATAATTAATTAATTATAATACAATATAATAATATCAATGGCATAAAACTAATGCACTTACGTGTGTATATATATACTGAATTATATATATATATATATATATATATATTGCATTTTTTACATCCAATTGATTTTTGATCATTCACTGATTTTGGAAGTAGTTTATTTAAACATTACATTTCTTCTTTGACTTTTTTAAATTGATCTTCGTGTTGGATAAGTTACTTGTGTGCATATGTTTTAACTTTTTTATCATACCTTATTTTTTCATCGTTTTTCCCTTTTGGCTCCGATATCGTGTATTGATTCATGTTAGCCGACCCCAAAATCTTTTGGGACTAAGGCTTGGATATTGTTGTTGTATATGTTGTGAAAATGCTGCAAATATACAAACTATTAACTATACATTAGCATCTTAATTAGTTTGATAAATGTGATATTTAATTCTTTTCAAATTCGAATATTCGAATAGAAACTGAATGTATTTGAATATAACAATTGAATGTGAATGAAAAATGAAAATTCGACTATCATCCATGAGCTAGTGTATTTGAATATAACAATCGAATATTATCTAAATATTTACAACCCTAGCCACGAATAATCCCATCTAGGCCCCTGCCTGTGGCCCAGCAAGCGCTCAGAACATTAATACGAAGTAAGGTGGATGGCGCAACTCAAAGAACAAATACATATCATCCATGAGAATTATACCCACACTATCCAACAGAAACAATCACTTTGACACCCATGAGCCATGACCATAGGGAGCCTAACTAATGGCATAATAATTATGATTCAGAAAGAGTACATACCTCGATGTCCTGAACAGAAGATGCACCCAAGGTAGCAACAACTTTAGTGGATATTTTCTCCATGCTACTACTGATATACACACATGCACTAAAATAAGTTACAGAGATAGACATCAAGAACATCCAGAGAATCTAACAAACAGAAAGGGTCCATACAGAGGTGTCTGGTTGGAGCTAGCCAAAAAGGTGGGATCTGTGTTACTTCCTGGTGCTGCAGCAGGCGAAGATACATTGACTGAGCCTGTTATAGCAGAGTGCAAAGCAGCAGCAGGAGCTGGTGATCCAGACACCGCCACAGAGGGAGTGTTAACAGAAGCAATCGGTGTAATCGGTGCAGGGCTTAAAGGTACTCCAGAAATGGTTGATGGGCTAGAACTAACAGGGGTGACAGCAGTAAATTGCTGTTCACTTGATGTGCCAGTTGCAGAAATTGCAACCTTAGATGTCAAGCCTGCATCAGAATATTGTCCTTGAGCAGCAGCTTTTTCAGCTTGATCACGAGCCAACTGATGCAATCACTGCAAATTTAGTAATTTAAAACAAATATGAATATGTGTGCCAATGAACCTTTCAAGTACCTTTAACTCCTCAGGTATTTCCCATTTAGACTCCTTTTTCTCTTTGTGATAGTAATACCTGACAAAGTCAAGCAAAAACAAGGGACAGAATAAAGGCCCATGGTTTTAGTACAAAATATAATGAAGAGATGAGTCCAAAAGAAGCTCCACTGGAATAACTTACTTTTTTCCATTTTCAGTGGTGAATTCTTTCCATCCAGTCAATGCCTCTGCTCTCTGGAAAAGTAAAATGCAGTGTAAGCAAAAACCATACAGTTTCTCTATGCAAATAATATTTTCAATCCATCATATATCTCTGATATGGAAGCATAATTTAAATAGAGCATTCCAAAATAGTTTTACATACTAGAAAGATAAAAATCCAGTGAGAAAGAAATCCACTGACTGAGTGTTAAATAGTAATGGAATATTTACTTTAGTAAATTTGCCTTACAAAGTAAACAAGAATTAACTATCCATACATGTAATGCTCAAGCATCGTACCGAAATTTATCAGGATAATGATATATGAATGTATTACAGCAAGTCAGCTAGCAATTACATGCATCTATTATCTAATACACCTTAGCTAATGACTAATGACCCACCCACCCACAGAGCTTCTAATTATGGCAAAGAATGAAACAAATCATTGCCTGCCTTGCAGAGAAACTTCCTTCATAGTGAGTATTGAGAGCAGTTGTTTATTCTTGTGATTTGCCATGACAGCTACATACCAGAAGAACATGCAAACAAAGGGAGAACAAGTATAAAACTCCTATGTGCAATTTGATTCTGTTTTACTTAATGGTCAACATTCATATATAACAATGCTAACAAAATTCATAAGACAACCGAAAGCAGTCTAAAAAAGAATTTGTATTTAGGATTTCAGAGTAACAGATCAGGAGACGGCTCACCTCTAAAGGAGTCATTAATTCCAAAGGCTTCTCCCAGCTAGACTGTTTTGTTATCTTGTTGTAGTAATATCTAATGTGTCAGGGTTGGGGGTGGGATGGGACAAACAAAACAAAAAAGATTGTGTTGGCAAAATTAAGTACATCTGTAATTCAAGAATTCAAATGAAGATTGAAGAGCTACATCCATAATTCCGTAACTTTGATAGGCTATGGAATAAACTACTAGTTTCTTTGAAGTGAATAGGGTAAACAGATCTTAAGGACTTCACCATAATGAATTACTAACCTTCTTCCTGAGACCTCATACTCTTGCCAATCAGATGTTGACTGCTCAGTACTATTCTGAGCACTTGCACCCTACATGAGTCCCAGAGTGGTTGAAAGTTGAAAAGGGCATTAGCAAGAGCATTATTTATTGGAAATCAAAAATTACTTCAGAATCAGATAATAAGATGTACAAATAATGGCAATGAGAGAAATTATGAAGTGACAGTAACATACTGCAACTGAAGGAGTAAAGCCTGATGATGGCTGAATGGTATGCTGCATAGGTGCACTATGATTTCCTGGTGGCAGCCAGTGCTGTCCTCCAGCAGCAAAGAGAGGTGTGTTCATTTGGGATGACATATTCATCCCGCTGTTTGTCTGGCCAAAAGGAGATGGTGAAAACTGCAACTGTACAAAAATAAATGGTCAGAAATTTAGTTAGAGTAGAGAGTATATGGAGAGAAAATAAAGTGTAAATCACTGCAAAGCAGCAAAAAAATTGAAATGGTGCTTTTACACATCAAACAATATGTGACGAAGGGATGGAACTACAGTGGCACTCACACCAGGCATGTGATTATTTGCAGAAAGAATCATTTGTTGATGCTGCAAAGAGGAAGAGGGAATAGGCCCACCCGGTTGCATATTTGGCATTTGAATTGGCTGTGATGATGGCATGTGACTGGGCTGACCGGGTCGTGGAGGAAACTGCTGCATTTGTTGAGAATATTGAAGTCCCTGATTTTGCCCAGGACCCATAGCAAATGGTTGTCCCTGCTGTACATGTGTTCCGGGTTGGAACTGAAACAAACATTTTGTTAATTTGGCCGTTGGTTTGCCTTTAGAGAATAGAGCAGTATTACATGGAAAACTTGATAATGAGACAGGTAACCTACTTGCATAGGATACGAACCATATCCATGGGGTGTCATGGAGGCACCTGGATGTGGCTGAAGAGGCTGTTAGAGATAGTGAATAAAAAGAGAAAGAAGCTGAAATCTCTGAATATATATCCAAATAATACAATACAAAAGAGAATATATATAAATATAATGTTGTGTCTTTGGTCTTTATGACAAATGTAAGATGTCGCCAGTTATTTGAAACATGGAAAATAAATATACAAGTGAATATATTATTAGAACTGCAAAACTAATCATAATGATCATGAATTCAACACTTCTGTAAGCGTCATGCACATCAAAGCGTCAATGAAACACGGAAACGCGGGCAAACGCCAAACCTGTGAAGAAATGCGTGGCAGACTAAAGAATAATCCGACAATGCAGTGATAAGACGAGAGCACGCACAGACTCCAGCGGTGTAGGAACAAACCTGGGAGATGAATAACTCGGCAGAGATGAATCCGGTGGGTTGCAGCGAGTTGATGGGTTTTGGTGGATTTTGTTCTGTAGAAGGGTCGATGGGAACGATTGAGGGGAGCTTGTTTGCCGAACAACGGGACTAGGGTTCATTTGTGTGTTTGCTCCTTTATTTTGTTAGAAATTGATCAAAAAAATATGAACAAAAACGTTTTGAAATTCCAAAATATGAGTATCATGATTTTTATTCTCTGAATAGGATTAATTTGATAAGTTTCAAAAAAAATGACATGTTTAAAGCCTATTAATTTCAAACTTGAAAGAAATTTACTTCTATTCAAAGAATAAAAAAGCATGATAGTCCTATTTTGGAATTTCAATACTTTTTTACTCCTGTTTAGGGAATTATCTCTTATTTGTTTTTTTTTTCCCTCAATCGAACCTGTCACTTGTCCCTGGTTCGAACCGGAATTGAATGGACTATTCCCAGTTCCGAAAACTATTGAGGAACCTCAAGCACAAGCTGGAATCGCCCACCCTGGACGCCTCTCTCCCCGAATGATAGAGAAGTAAATCGTGATACGATCTTAAAAGGTTTTTGAGTGAGGTGTTTCAAAGGTCGGTGTGCATAAGGAGTCACCACATTGGATGAAACTTTCATAGTCTAATATTGTCGTTGCATGGAATTGAACCTAAGACCTCAATCCAACAACATCATTTAGTCATCGTTGAGCTACCTGTGTGGGAAGCGAAACCACCACCTTGTATAATGAGAGCATCCTCATTGTTTAGATTATTTAGAGATCAATTGGATGATGTGAATAATTTTCTTATGGATCACTACAACAAAATAAGACTTTTGTAACACCACTATAATGTTACATTAAATGGTTAAAATGTTACAAAAAGTTAAAACAACACTTTAATGAGCGTTACTTTAGGTCTCGTTGGATAAAGTCACGTGCAACACTTTTTAACATTTTATGTAACATTGAGGGAAGATGTTACAAAATTAAACCATGTGCAATACTTTTTGACAACATCTTAGTTTGCATCTTACACAGCACATTTTTATAATATGCAACACTTAAATACTACTTTAGGTAACATTAGCCTTATGTCTACATAACATGTTTATATTAGGTTTGTGCAACATTAATGTAACAAATTTTCATTCGTAGTGTTATGTAACAAAGTAAGAGACATTGAGTTACATTTTAAATATGCAACATACATATAATAACATGTTCATTGTACAGATAAAAATTTTAAATATTCATTAGTAAAGAATAGTCATTACATATTTTCTCCTTAGAGAAAGTTGAAATTCATCACCGTCAACATCTTAAAAGAATACATCAATGATAATAACCTAAATTTACACGTATATCTTAAAAGCCTTCTTGCTGGAAAAAAAAACTTACAAAGTCATTAAACTCCATTATATGGCGGCATGATTCTCTCTGCATCACAGTCTTCTTTATCTTCCTACGATATCCCTGTAAGAGACATAATAGAAAACAAACATAACAAAAGTAAATAAAACGAATCATAAAAAAAGAATATAAAAACAATTCAATAATCAAACTAAAATTTGTTCTACATTAAGTGCATATTTTTATAGTGATTCAGAGTAGTACAATTACAATTAACCGATCACTTTGTCACACCAAGTCCCCATGCACCTATAAATATAAAATATGTAGTGCACTAGATTAGAAAAAGGTAATTGTAAGTCATATATTCTCATATCTCCACAACAATGAATACACACTAGCTATTTGATTAGGTCATATATGAGGGGAAGGGATCCCACAAGCCATCGTCTGAATAATGTAAGCAACTAAAAGTGAAGCATTATTTCATACCAATGGGTAGGTAACTGAAAACCCATAAAACAAACAGGGTTGTATGACTAACAGCTTTAGCATCTTCGCAAAAAGCCTGCCATAATTTTTACAAAAATAGAATGTCAAACTTCTAAAATGCGGATCAGTGAAGCTCATATATTTCTCATATTATAAACTGCGTTAATACTATAGAACTGTAGAAATTATTCGAAGAGATTTCACTCAAAGGGCTCACTGGCCTGGAACAGATATGCCTTTATGTCACATATTGCAGGTTTCTTCTCCAGAACCAATTTCTGCTCTTTTTTCCTTCTACCAAATACCAACCATCAAGTTATTTTCTTTTATTAGTTTTTCAAAATATAAATCTACCATGCATTTTGAACACCAACACGCATATACGATATTATTAGCCAGGTCATTGCAACTAAATTATTTCTTTTAAGAAAGGCATTTAAGAAAATATAATACATAAGTTATCCGTTTCACACTTATATCAGGATTAAATAAAGCATTCCTACCTATGGTGTTTTAAAACAAGTTTTAAATGTTCAAGACCAATTATGCACTTCGGGCCTCTAGCAACAATAATTCATTAAGTTTCCAGATACAAGTGATACCTTATTTCCATATCTTTTTTCCCTTTCAGCCCCCTCGAGGTCAACTATTGTAAAGGTGGAGCCATTTGACTCTTCACTAACTGTTGCCCTTCTTGTGATCACAACAAATGTTTATTATGCATTGAGAGTGACTGAATGGATAGAGCAATATTGTAATATTCATATTGCAATGAAATATCAATAAATAGACACACATAACATATATCAGCAAATCAAGCTTGCAAAGAATAAATGCTCAGAAACTAGATTATTAGTTTCAGCCATGTACCTAGACTGGCTATTGGAATTTGTCATGGCTATTCTGGTTTCAGTCTGATGTATGTCATTAACTCTGATCTATTACAAATGTATAAAAACAAAAAAACGATGTTGCTTAGCATTAGAAAAGAAGCGAGATTGGATGAAGAGAATATATAAAACTTGTGTGGGACCTCATGCAAGCCTATAATGGATGTATGTTGTATGCATAAATTGGTACCATCATGGAACAAATCAAATATCTTCTCAGACTTCCCTTTCTCTCAACAAATTTTTAACATTGAAAGGTGAAAAATCTTGTTCTTTATAAAACATCTATACCTAAAACATGTTATATTATCTACCTGTGATAAATGCAGAAATGGAATATCTAAGAACTATGATAATATACTTCAGTTGTTCAGCAAGAGCGATAACTACTTTTAGTCAGTGCAGCAATGGACTACACACTACCAGATTTACGGCTGAAAAGCAAGCCAAATCATTCCAAAGTTCAAACTAAAACTTATAAATACAATAAACAATGATTGGCATGTTCTTTTTACCATAAATTTAGCACCTAGCATCGGAAGGTCCAGTGTGGTAGAGAATCCTTTTTCTTCCACCAAACACCAGAACTAAAAAAACGTCCAAATAACCACAAGAACAAGATTTTCAAAAAAATATCAACCAAACAGAGTTTCAATTGCATCAATCAATAATTATAAACAGGTTCTGAAACCATCTTCAAGGCTAATGCGAAGGAAGCTTACCACGACAAAAGACAGAATTTCATGGGGTATTTTCTCCTGCTTTGATTTCTCAGATGTGTAATATTCAAGATGTATCTCAAATTTAAAGCACATAACAAGTTTTAGATAAAACTATAAAAGTATACGGAAATCGAAGATAGAATATAAAAATTTTAAAACTATTTTAAATGCATATTTTAAAATCATTTTACCTGAATATCGAAGGAGAGCAGCACGGAGGAAGGTGACATAGCAGAGGAGCAGCAATAGTAGGCGTAGGAGCGGCGGGAGGCTCAAGATCGGAGATAGGCGCAGCCGCGCAGGGGTAGCGGTATGTTCAGGGGCGCAATGCTTCCTTCGCTGGGGTGCAGGGTCACAACTCAGGGTTGTGTATTTCTTGATTTTCTAGGTGTCCTGAATCGGTAGTGGTGGCTTTTTCTTTATAAAAATAAAAAATCTAATGATAAATTAGGGAGTGTTATGAAGAAATTGAACATGATTAAAGAAATTATTAGTTACTTATTGCCGTTAAATTAAAAATATTGTTTTTTTACTTTATTTTTAAAAAGATGTTGTATCTAAATTAACGTAACATTTTTTTAATAATGTTACATAAGTATTACGTAGTATTATGATTACATTTATTTTTAGCAACACTTGGAAAATAGATGTTACGTAATACTTGATGGTTGTGACAATTTTTAATAAGTGTTGCATAATTTGAATAATTTAGACATCTTGCAATATTTATATATAATTTTTGCATAATGTGTGTTGTTGATACTATATGTGACAAAAAAAAAAAAAGTGTTACAGAGAAAATGTTACAAAAAGTCAATTTTGTTGTAGTGGATTATGATTGAGAAAATGAGATTATTTAGAAACATTATTTTCTATAAAAAACTAGTACCAAGTATTGATCTAAATTATTCGGGGGGGTTTGGGGTACTTTTAATTCATTTTTGGAATCCAAGAAAAAACATAAAATATAAAAAATTGGAAAGAGGAGTTGCATATGCGTTAATCACGTATAGGAATGTTTGAAGTGGGTAATTTTAATGTTTTGATTAAAACGATTTGTATATGTTTTGTATATATAGTTTGTTTTGGTGTTGTCCCACAAATTAAATGATAATTAAAGATGATGGTTGAGGGGTTTTAATGAGTTTTAAGATTAGTCCAGATTTTTTTATGCGACTGTGATGTGGCAAAAAAACTTTTGTATTTAGAGAGCATGATTATAGATGCTCTTATTTGTAGAGCAATTAGGTGTTGGTCCGATTGGACGATTTAATTACTAATTTTGGAGCTCTAGTATTATTTTTTTCTAAAGGAAACAACTTATTTTAAATTCATACAATCAAACCTCCAAACATCATCAATAAACCGAGTCTCCCTCTAGACCTCGTATAGCCAATAGGCACCCTCACTACCTGACCAGACACATAATAGATCACCCAAAAATGAGTGAGCCTAATCGCTGAATATGCGAGAGCTTCGAAGATATTATCGGCCAGATTAGTATGATTGCTCCCACTCAATATCACAACAAAAAGCACTCATAACTCTCAATTATTAACCAAATAAAAAAGTACGAAATAACAAAAAATAAAACATGAACGAAAGATAGAGAAGAAGAGCGCATGTGACCGAGTCCCACCGTGAAACGTCGAACTTTGATCCCTGG